CTCACTTGATTTGCTGCTAATCTTCGCGCCTCTCTTCCTCGAACTTCAGTTCACGTTCTTTATCTCTCCATTAAACAGATTTGTTGAAAGTTAAGTGTCAAGGGCAGATACTGACAAATCACTAATCAATTAATCATTAGTTGACGTTTTGTAATCTTTGTTCGCATAATCCCGACTCAAACTATATTATCTGATCTGAAATCTTTTTTTAGGTTGCATGGTGGGATAGTTCTTTACTCACAAAAAAATATAATTAGTGAGTGTTTGATTTATGTTCAATACCTTTGCACTGTGTTTTGTTTGATCATGACTGTTTTTTAATGTGTGTTTTGCTCTTTTGATTTGATGGTTATTCGTTATTCATGATGTTTTCTCGCATAAACCTGATTCTAAACAGATTTTGTGATTTAAAATGTGTGTTTCCCATTATTTTGGAATGGAATGTCAAACAGAATGTGGAAAAAATCGTTGGAGCATGCAAGTGAAATTGTGATTTGTTTCTTTGTTTCTTATTGTTTTTTTACTCACTTTCTAATTAATTCTCTCTGTTTCATTTGGTCAATCATCACTTTCCAGGCATCGAACATGATCATGAAAGATGTGGTTGCCTCCACGCTGCTCTCCACTGGTTTGTTTGCCACTACGTTCACAAGCTGAGGTGGCAACCCGATTCAGACACTTTTGAGGTTGATATGATGACTTGGCTTGCCACATTTACCCCAAAGACACTGAAATTCTTAGACATACGTTATCGAGACACGTAAATGCCGTTAGTGAGATTCAAAGTGGAAGGGAATTACTACTTTTTGGATGCAGGGCATAGCTCCATTAATCTATCGTAATGAGAAGGTTTTTCTCATAAGTGCAAGATTGAGAGGAAAGATAGGAAAATAGCCTTATTTTTTATCAGGAAGTATAATTAACTATATAGTTAAAAAAATGTATATAAAATTTTGGTTTCTTGATCGGATTATTTATTTTGTTCTCTCTGATTTTAAACAATTAGCATGGATATCAAAATCTGATTGTCACTCTTAAGTTTCGTTAATTTAGGAATACATCTTCCCCAAATTCAGTTTTTTTTTATGCTTCCAATGAGGTTTGTTTGATTTATGTTTTTCTTTGGTTTACTTCAACTATTGTTGAATTGTAAAACTTATAATCATTGGAGAAAACTAAAACTCAAAAAACAAGAACATCATATCATTAATTAAGAAGCAAATTGGACTGTATGTGAAAATTATTATGTTTAATAAATTTGGTTTAAGAACAATTATACTAAATAACAAAAATTAATATATTTTAAGTAGTTTTGTCGAAAAAGTAATTAATCTTAATAAATTGAATATATATATATATATATATTTATGGTTATATCTTGATTTAGATTAATTCAAAAATGATATTTTTATTTTATTTGTAAAGATAAAAATGTATCTATATTTGTCAGATTATAAAAAAAAATGGTATAAACCCCAAATTTGTATTCCTATAAATAGTGTAATGTATTTGCTACTTTATTTCATATCATTTTTTAAATTTAGGTTAGTTCATATAAATTTTGATATTTTGTTATTTGTTTGTTTTCTTTGAATTTGATAAAATAAAAATTCATAGAAAATTGACAAGTTATTGGATTATTTATTCATTTTGATGTTTTTATAGTACTCTAATTTTATAAAAATAATTTTCAAATTGCATGAAAATAATTTTCTTTTTTTCTTATACACAAAATTTTAGTATAATTAATTTATTATATTTATATCAGAATTAATGTATTAATAATATTGAAAGTGATTTATCCGCGTCTTGTATGTCATTAATCTAGAAATAAATAAAACCTTTTCCTATTTATATATATTTTGAGTTCGATTACAAAGTTGTAAAAAAAGAGATATTTTTAATAGCTATAGAAGAAAAACTAATCTTCCATATCTGAATGGTAATGTGAAACTGTATATCCCAATGGAGTAAATAGGAGTGATAGGGCCTCCAATAACGACACTGCTGCTAGTTTGTATGAAACTCAGGACTAGACATCGAACGTTGTAGCATCCAGTTTTGTATGCATTAGCCTGAAAAATATTTATATTATTGCTATTAAAACTAATTCAAAATCATGTTATTGCTGATTATTTTAATCAACGGGTACAAAGAAGAGAAGCGGCAAGTTTGGCTAAGACAACATAATGCGAGGTTTGATAAATATTTACATTATTCTTAATATGCTTTTTTGGCTATGATGTTATATATACTAAATATTTAATTTTGGCGTTTGTGAAAAAAACATTTATCTCTAAAAATTATTTGTAATTTTTTATATCAATTCTAATATCGACTTCTATTATTATATATATTTATCCATTTTTATCTTCATACAAAATAAGTGAAAAGAAATTGGAAATTGAGTAAAATAAAATAAAAAAATAAGTAAAATAAAATAAAAAATTAAGCACAAAATAAGTTGAAAATAAGAAAAGCAAAAGAAAAAAATACACTAATTTAATAAACATTTTGCTAAACATCTATCTAAAAATAAATTGATTTTTAACCTTTTTACAAAGTTAAAAACATAACTATTAAATATGTAACTTTTAAAAGATAAGTGATTATATATGAAAATTTCTAATAACTAATAAAAAAATACAAAATTTGATAACAGTAATGATGAAAAGATGCTACTATAAATGATATTTATTCAGTTTGCTATTATTAATAATTTTTTATAGCATTAGTTGTCCAAGAAAACAAGTTAAACTTATTATTATTTTATATTCTTAGTAAATAAAACAATCATTAGTATATTTATATAAACTGTAGTCCATATAGTTTTAGGAACTCGATAATATATACAAATCATAAATTTTAAAAATTTAGTATACTTTTGTGAATTTAATTTTATCAAATTCTATGTTGTATAAGTCAAAGATATTCGATTTAAAAATATTTAAAATGTACATCTTTTATTTTATAAAATATATATAATCAGTATGTATTTTCTATTTAAAATAATTATTTGGTATGATGGAATTTTTTTTTGCTTTGCACTATCAAAATTATTGGAACGATACTGTGAGTCCAAGAAGAAACCTGCATAGAAAGTTTAGAAACAACAAAAATAGCACAATGAACCAAATTAATCAAATCGAATAGCACCATGCGTTACAATTATATATATTTCACTCACACTTAAAGTGACCAGACTCACTATTTCCCGGTGACTATATCCAATGAATGATCGATGCGTTTTGCTTCTAGTCTTCTCTCTGTCTTTCGGCGACTCTAGATTTCTAAGTTACAATCGATGAGATTTTCTCTCGCTCTATCTCACAAGTCAAAACCAAAACTCAACATATATACAAAGTCCACTCTGAATGGTAGTTTTGTGGACACAAGTAGATAACATTATTTCACTAAGTTTAGAAACGTTACAAAAATAGAAACCTGTGTGACACTCTAATGATTTCTCTTTTAAATTTTATTATATTTTAATTAGGTGGAGCCTTTGTTTCTGCGTTAACTGGTACACCCATCTATATCACTTTTTCTCTCCCTTCGGTTTAATTCTTTACTGAATATCAATATTTCTATCTCTTTTTTTTGTTTCAGTATTTTTATCTCTCTTCTGGTTTTAGTACTTTTAGGGCAAAAGTACTCGTGTGTATAGATTTTTAATAACAAAAAATTAGTTAATTTTTTTCACAGAATAAGTCGTAAAAAATCCAACAAAAAAACTTATACCCACAGAGAAAATCTATATTAAAACCTATACCAACACTACTTTTGCCCTAAAAGTACTAAAACTAAAAGAGAAATAGAAATGATGATATTCAGTAAAGAATGAACGAAGCGAGACAAAAAATAATGAGAATTAATGCAGAATTAACGAGCTTTAATGTTTTAACATTTCTTATTTTTTCCTCCTACATAGCCTCCGATCCGAAAAAGGCAAATTAAAAGTTAAAACAAAAGCCAGCTCTGCGTTTGCGTTTTAACTTTCAATTAACAAACCACTTTTGTTCTTCATGTTTTGTTTGTTCTATTCACATAATTTGATTTTATTCCATTCTACGTGTAGTAATAACAATGGAGTACCTTTTTGTCAACAAAAAAAGTTAATACTAATACTGGTTCACTAGTTAAACTAAAACTTTCCACAGCTTCGTACGATTTGAGTAATAAACTTGTCCATGAAAGCTAAAGATATTTTATCAGTAACTTTTTAAATAAGCATATTCATTAATACTCGTTTTTAAGAGAAAAATTCTATCACAAAACAGAAAATATTAATAATGTTAAAAGAAAAAAGTGTTCATGATTATCTTTATTCTTTACACTATGTAAACTCAATTTTACTAGTTTAGATTTTTGAACTGTTCTAAGAATAGAGACTGTTGAAAAACAAAAATTAGGAAAAAGTGGTTCCAATCAGTATTGAGTTAGGCGATAAAAAAAAAGAGAGAGAAAAGGTAAAATCCACATACGAAAATTCGAAACCTAAAAACCACCTCATGCATATGTTCTGTGAGGAGTAGTACATCATTTTGCACAAATACATTAAACAACAGCAGAATATATGGTTTTCAAGAATACTAATTGTCATAAAATTATATCTGGAAAAACTCAACGACCATTAAAAAAAAATACTGTAAATTAAATAATCTGAACATAAAAAAATTTGAACAGCTATTTTTGAGACTTTTTAAAAATATTTAATTGTTAAAAAATTAAATATAACTGCTGAAAAAAAAAACTATGGAACGGGCTCTCATTACCGGTCAAATTTGTAGCTTCCAATAACCGTTTTTAGTTTTAGCCTCTTTGAACTTTTGTTGCGTTTGATTTGCATTTTAATTATTTTTCTTGTATTTCTTTTCGAGTTTGGTCTAGATTCTAGAAGGTCTGGTTTAATGTTGCCTTGCATTAAATTTAACTACGGTTACGTTGCTGAGCAGGGACCTCAACCATATCTTGTATTACGACGATCTAGAGAACTGCTAGACCACACAAATTTCTGATTAGTTATACAATTAATTAAGCTAAACCAGCGAAATGCAGCCTGATTTAACTAAACCGGAAATAACCCACTCCAATATATTGACTTCTTCATGTGGAAGACACTGATTTCGAGACACTGATACCTCCTACTCCGCTGCAGAGGTTCCAAATCCCACCGAGCACGATGACCACAATGCTCACTTTACTATTCTCAACAGTGACTGTGGCGATTATCGCGATCCTTTCATCGAGTTCCCAAATCGGTTTCGGAATCTTCGCACCGCCTGAAATCGCCGGCTCGCGTGATGTTTTCCCGTCGGCGAGGGTGATAAACGTCACGGGAGCCTCCGGTCCGGAGAGTGTAGCTTTCGATCCAGCAGGGGAAGGTCCGTACGTTGGTGTCTCTGACGGTCGGGTCCTGAAATGGCGCGGAGAATCGCTTGGATGGACGGATTTCGCTCACACAGCCGCTAATAGGTATCCCGCGTCTTCAGAGAAAATTTTGACGGTTTCGATCGATTGATTCTAAATGTCGCTGTAGAATTTACTTTGTGGTAGTTTCTCATTTTCGTGGTTGATTGTGGAAGTTGAGTGATTGCTCTGTGTTTGTCAAATTGCTGTCGTCCTGTACCAACTGTGGAAGATTTCGTTCGGTTTGATCATAATTCTCATTAGCTTCAGGATTCAGAGAGAAAAGAGCATTCTTTTGTTAACTTTGTTGAACTCTAAAGCGATCAATTTGCTTTTATCATGCGTTGTGGTAGTCTCTCAGAGGTTACTGTGACAGTATCTTGAATCAGTTTAGTAGTATTTTGTGCTATTCAGTATTCCTGCTCGTTAGGTGTTTACTCATCTTATACCACTTGTGAAATATGGTTTAGGCAGTTGTGCGTTAGGCCATTTGCGCCAGAGCTGGAGCATGTGTGTGGAAGGCCATTAGGATTGCGTTTCGATATGAAAACCGGAGATCTTTACATTGCGGACGCTTACTTTGGCCTTCTTATCGTTGGTCCTGCTGGTGGTTTAGCCAAACCGCTGGTTACAGAAGCTGAGGGTCAAAGGTTTACTTTCACTAATGATTTGGACATTGATGAGGAGGAAGATGTGGTTTACTTCACAGATACCAGCACCAGATTCCAGAGAAGGTAACATATGAATAGAAACACCTAAAAATCTCATCTTTCTTATCACGCGCGTTGTCTTTTCATAAAAGAAGGATGTTCTTGTTTCAAAAATGTTTTTTTTTTATGTTTACAAGCTTGGAATCTCAGTTTATATCCTTTTCTTCTTGGTGATGATGATTTAACTTCAAAGCGTTGTCATGTTCAGGCAATTCTTGGCTGCTGTTTTGAACTTTGATAAGACTGGAAGGTTGATCAAGTATGACAGATCAAGCAAGAAAGTGACGGTCTTACTACAAGGCGTTGCATTTGCAAACGGCGTTTCACTAAGCAAAGACCGGTCTTTTGTATTGGTGGCCGAAACAACCACTTGCAAGATCCTAAGGCTTTGGCTCTCTGGTCCAAACGCAGGAACCCAAGACGTGTTTGCTCAGCTTCCGGGTTTCCCGGACAACATCAGAAGAAACTCAAAAGGAGAATTCTGGGTCGCTATACACTCAAAGAAAGGTCTCTTCGCGAAACTCTCACTCACTCAAACTTGGTTCAGAGACTTGGTGCTGAGACTTCCGATCAGTGGCCCGCGCCTGCACTCTCTGTTCACTGGAGGTCCTCATGCAACAGCTTTGAAGCTGAGTGAACCAGGAGAGGTTTTGGAGGTGCTTGAAGATAAAGAAGGAAAGACACTGAGGTTTATAAGTGAAGTGGAGGAGAAAGATGGTAAGCTTTGGATTGGTTCTGTTCTCATGCCGTTTCTTGGTGTTTATGATTTGTAGTTTTCTGCGTTGTTGAGACTTTATTGTCTTTGCGTTGTTATCATTTTAAATGTCCCAACTATGTCTACGTACACGTTAACTCTTTTTCGTTCGTTTTGGACGTCCTTTTTGTATTCAAAATTAGTGTCGGTAGTGTTTGCAAATTTAAGTACTCTGTAGAAATATTAATAAAACAGAAAAGTTTATAAGGCAAATTTTGAAACCGGTGAAAGATATAATGAATATGGTGTACAGTACAGTTTATAAATCTATTAAATTTGCAGTTTCTAGTCTCTATAGATATGTTTTGTAAATAGTGTATATACATATGCTAAAGCCTCAAGGGGACAAGACTACATCGTATTTAAGAAAAAAACTTTAATTAGGTAAAAAATACTATATACTTTACGCAAACTTTTCAAATTTCTAGGCTTTGTACATTTTAAAACTTGTAAAAGACATGTACACTAATTAAATTTATTTACAAGAGAGAGAACACTGATATTTACGTGTACAACGTGTGTTGTGTCGGACTTTTTTTTTGAAAAAGAAACTTTTTATCTATATATAGAGTAATTAAGTTCAGTATCATCATCACACTCACACACACACCTTTTTCTCCTGAGACAGAGAGATGCCGATTAGCCGGAGAGTTCTGAATCAGATCGCCGCCGCTCCGGTTATCGTAGCTGTCGTTTGCTTCGTCTTCTGGTCATCGATCATCGCGCCGGACCACCTAAAGGGCACGAAAGACGTCCTCGAAGTGGCTAAGACCATTCCTGTCCCCAGCGATGGACCAGAGAGCTTAGAGTTTGACTCACAAGGTGAAGGCCCTTACGTCGGCGTCACCGACGGTCGCATCCTGAAATGGCGTGGCGAAGAACTCGGATGGGTCGATTTCGCCTACACTTCTCCTCACAGGTTCAGTCCTAAACCCAAAACCACCAACTCACTCTTCCTCTGTTTTCATTTGTAGACTCGTCCAATGGATTTTCATTCTGTTTTGTTTTGGTGAATGAAGAGATAACTGCTCGAGGCATGAGGTTGTTCCAAGTTGCGGGAGACCATTGGGACTTAGCTTCCACAAGAAAACAGGAGATTTGTACATCTGTGATGGTTACTTTGGGGTCATGAAGGTCGGACCAGAGGGAGGCTTGGCCGAGTTAGTGGTCGATCAAGCTGAAGGTCGCCAAGTTATGTTCGCTAACCAAATGGATATCGACGAAGAAGAAGACGTCTTCTATTTCAATGATAGCAGCGACAAATACCACTTCGCGTAATTCAAAATATTTTAACATATAACGATTCAATTTTCTTATATTTTCTCTAATTGGTAACATCAACGAAATCGTGGAAAACGGAAAAAAATAAATGAATAATAGTATAATACTACTATTTTTGTAGACTACTATTTTTGTAGAATAGATTAATAGACCTAGCTCAATATTAGCGTGATGAGAAAAAAAAAAAAAAATATATATATATATATATATATATATATGTATAACGAACTTGTAAATGTTTTGTTGGACAGGCAAGTATTCTACGTGTTTATCTCCGGGGATAAGAAGGGAAGAGTAATTAGGTACGACATGAAGAAGAAAGAGGCCAGTGTTATAATGGACAAGCTTCATTTTCCGAATGGTTTAGCTCTAAGCAAAAACGGGTCGTTCGTACTCACCTGCGAAAGCGGTACAGGTACGATCCATAGAATATGGGTCAAAGGTCCTAAAGCAGGGACCAACGAGGTTTTCGCCAAGATCCCGGGTCCCATGGACAATATCCGGCGCACGCCTACGGGAGACTTTTGGGTCGCATTGCATTCCAAAAAAAGTTTGTTCATACGTGTGTTTCTGAGCCACCCTTGGGTCGGAAAGTTTTTCATGAAGACGCTTAAGGTGGAGACTGTGATTTATCTCATCAACGGAGGGAAACCTCATGGAATTGTCGTGAAACTCTGTGGAGAGACCGGGAAGATTCTCGAGATACTCGAGGACAGTCAAGGGAAGACCATGAAGTATCTTAGTGAAGCTTATGAGAGAGAAGATGGAAAGTTATGGTTCGGTTCTGTGTATTTCCCTGCCGTTTGGGTTGTTGATACTTCGGTTTACGATCGCAAATGAGTAACCAAAAAGAAACAAGTAACATCATCATTATGGTGTAATTTGCTTGGTAGAAATGCATGCATCTTCTTTTGTATCTTGTTGTTGTTGTGTACGTGGACTTTTATTCTGCGAAATTTTGGTTCATATGAGCAGTTTATGTGGGATTTATAAATGTCTGTGTGGTTAAAACGAAATCTGAGCTGTGTCCGGCATGAATTTGATTTGGAGAAATAGTGACAAAAGTATTATAAACTCCGACGACAAGGGGGACAAGTTTCCCAAGAATTGATGTTGTCTTGATAACATTGGTTAGTTCTCTCGAGGCACGCTAGTTAGTATTATAATGTTTTTCTTTTTAAAAGTATTATATCATATTAATTTGATTTAATTTGTTCAGTTATTTCATATATGAATTGTGATTCATATCTACTCGGGTTATAGCCTTCTAGGTTAAATTTTTTCGTTTTGCAAGCTCCCTAGAATCACACTAATATACAGTATGGTTGTGATCTCAAGTTTGGCTTGCTTCATTTGCGAAACACTGAGCCTGTGACAAGCCAGGCCAGACCTAACCCGGTTGATATGGGCTAAAACCCATTTCGTATTAAATAATATAATTAGTTAAATATTACTTAATTTAGGATAAATTCGTGTAATCAAGGACAAGAAACAATACAAAGTAACAAAAGAAATATATGTCTAGTTATACGAACTACGAAGTAACAAAAGAAATATCTGTCTAGTTTTTTTTTTTTTTTTTGGTCAGATATCTGTCTAGTTAAATATTACTTAATTCAGGATAAATTCGTGTAATCACAAGGACAAGAATACAAAGTAACAAAAGAAATATCTGTGTAGTTATATACTTTCAAAGCTGTGCGTTGAATGGGCTCTACCTATTTCTGCTCATTAGGACAAAACAATTGTATAATCAACTATGTAATTTGCAAATTATAACAGCGAAAAAGGGGCATATACGAGTACTTGTAGTGGACAAATATTTGTTGTTACTTTAATTTGATTCTTACTTTACATTAATTTGATTCTTGTCGGCAAAAGATGTCCAAGTGGCTCAACTAATGGCTCTTTTGCTTTACTAAGGGGGTGGGGTTTTCTCTTGCCTATAATCCAAATTTGCTTCCTTGTTCTAATTCTTTTTTGCCGAGGAATCAGTATATAAAAGGCTAACTATATGTGCAAGTGTAACACCCTTCAAATTCCTTGGTGAACGATCTCTCAGTGCATGATTTCTACCAAAAATATAACTATGAAATTACAGTATTTCTAACTAATTATACGTGAGGATTATCTTACTTTATATTTTCTATGGTTTCACTCAAATTTCATGTACTCCTTAATATCGTCTGTTCCTCATAGATAGATGTTATGTATATTTTATAGATATTAAAAAAACAATATATATTTACTAATTACTTTTTATTTATTTTTGAAAGAGATAACTTTTTTATTTTGTTTGCCAGTGAGAGAAGTATTCAATAAATGTAAAGCTTTACTTTTTTTCTTTCTTTTTTTAACTAACTTACGAAAATAAAACTTATTAAAAAAACTTACAATATCAATATTTAAAAATAAGAAAGAAACTCAAAACATCAATCTATATAAGCATATACATATATCAGGCCATCACATGCATTCTTTTCTGAAAACAAATCACAATTAAAGGTTGGTTTTAGGTGCGATCGATTGGTTATTAATTAACTTATAATAATAATTTAGATTTTTTGGACTTTAATTTAGATACTTTTAAAAGTATGACAAAATAAAAGTAAAATAACAAATAAACAAATGAATATTTCAATTGTATGTCAGTGGTAGTACGAACTGAAAGAGCTAGCTTTTCTTTTCCACCCATTTTATTAAAATAGAAAAAACAGTACAATTTAAAGTTAATCAATCATTTTATTTTACTATAAAATTATTTGAGAATTCATTTTTATTTGTCGCGTTCACAATCCATATTACAAAAAAAAAATGGTTTACTATCATACGTTATTATTAGTTTATATCAGTTTTTAAAAAATTGTAAGAAAATCTTTTCAAATCTACATATAATCATATTTTCTTTATTTAATATTTGTATTCTCCGGTTTTGAAGTAAACGAATTAACAACAATAAAAAGTAGGAAGTAAACAGCTATATATATTCCCAACAGGATAGCATCAACAATTCAACAAACCAACAAGACACATTGTCTTGCCATATGTTTGACGTCAGATGAAATATAATACTCGTGGGTTTTTTAGAATTGGACACCTCTGGGACTTATGTGGTCGAAAATGAAGTTACGTAAAAATGCATTTAACCACTTTCATGTGGGGTTTGACTTTAAATTAACACTTAGTCGGCAATGAATCAGTTAATAATATAAAATGTATATAACTCAATTATATGAACCTCCGATTTTGGTTTACACTTAAAGTTTTAACCAACCTTTTATTTAAATAGTACATGAACACCATAATTAAAATAGAAAACACTAGAGTCATGTAAGTTATTATATACCTTTACTTTTATACTGTTATCTTTTCTTTTACTGAAAGTAATTTTAATGCTCTATCAAAAAAGAAAAAAATGTAACTTAAATTACATTCTGTAGTGTGATAAGTGGACAACAAATGAAATGTTGCGCGAAAAAACTGCAAACGTATGTAACATGCATCTTTCCTTTTTTCATTCAAGTATCAATATTTACACCCTTATTCCAAAAAGGAAGTTTCAATCTTAAAACTTATATTGTCGCTTTCGTTGATTCCACACATGTTTTTCATTCACGTACGGTACTCATATTATGACAGTTGGCACTTCAAGAGACATGACAATACGTGTTTATCTCTTCATCCACATAACAATAGAAATATCTAGAACTCATTTATCCTTTTTTATTTACTCTTTCATGTTATATAACTATATGTGTCACTTTGATCAGGTTATGAAAGCTAACAACAGTTAGTGTTACACACGTCTCTTCAACAAAAAGTAAATGCCGATAAATCAGAAAGTTCCGACTTGGGCCGCCGTTCCGGTTGTTTTCGCCGTCTTGGCCGTGATTTCATATCAGATCATAATTCCGCCGGACAATTTAGAGGGCACCAAAAATGTATTGTCGATGGCTAAGACCATACCACTCCCCGTTGATGGACCAGAGAGCATTGCGTGGGACCCGCAAGGAGGAGGTCCTTATGCTGCCGTCGTGGACGGTCGTATTCTCAAGTGGCGCGGCGATGATCTAGGCTGGGTTGAGTTCGCTTACACATCTCCTCACAGGTACGTTCTATATATTTGATTATTATTACAACGTTTATTAGAACACACCGACACGTGAAATAAGTAACTTAATTAGATCGTTGGCAAATAAACAAAATAAGAAGAAGTAAAAAAAACTCATATAGATCTCTTTTCGCTTAACTCTAATGAATATATATTTAGATATGGAAATAATTTAAACTTCTCTTAGAATTTAAAGCTAGATCCAAACTGGAAAGGCAGTTGTGTTGGGTAAATTTACAAAAATAAATAGTAATTATGTAGGCTATATTAAGTGATCAGATAGTTCAAAAAAAATTAAGAACAATAATATATATTGTCCTTGTTGTATGTAGAGGGAACTGTTCAAGGCATGAAGTAGTGCCTACTTGTGGAAGACCATTGGGACTTAGTTTCGAGAAAAAAACAGGAGATTTGTACATCTGCGATGGTTACCTTGGGGTCCTGAAGGTCGGACCAGAGGGGGGCTTGGCTGAGCTGGTCGTGGACCAGGCCGAAGGTCGAAAAGTAACATTCGCGAACCAAATGGATATCGACGAAGAGGAAGATCTATTCTACTTCAATGATAGTAGTGACAAGTATCATTTCAGGTATTTCTTAATCTTTACCTATGCTATGTACTTGTACGATCTTCGCATTTGAAGTAAGGTTTCCATTGTTTCTTTCCAGTTTTCTTTTTGTTTTTCAAATGGACCACAACTTTAAGCATTTTAAATTTTTTTTGTTTTTTTTATTGTAAATTCCAAATCTTATGTTGTTGTCCAGTTACATATTTGAGCAAAGTAAACATTAATTACTTTTCATATAAATGATAAACGCAAAAACTAGTGTGTGAAGCTATTTCAAATATAATGTGATTTTTGTCGGTCAGGGAGGTATTTTACGTGGTTACTAACGGGGAGCGGTCGGGAAGAGTGATCAGATACGACAAGAAGACGAAAGAGGCCAAAGTTGTAATGGACAATCTCCGTTGTAATAACGGTTTGGCTCTAAACAAAGACCGGTCTTTCTTAATCTCATGCGAGTCTTCCACAGGACTTGTCCACCGTTACTGGATCAAAGGTCCCAAAGCCGGGACCCGCGATATCTTCGCCAAGGTTCCAGGTTACCCCGACAACATCCGCTTAACACCAACGGGAGATTTCTGGCTTGGGATACATTGTAAGAAAAATTTGTTAGGGAAACTGATTGTGAATAACCGGTGGCTCGGGAAGTTGGTTGAAAAGACGGTGAAGTTGGACTTGTTGATCGGGTTGATGAACGGATTTAAGCCGCATGGGATCGCCGTGAAAATCTCCGGGGAGACAGGGGAGATACTTGAGATACTCGAGGACAAAGAAGGGAAGACGATGCAGTATGTGAGTGAGGCTGATGAGAGACCTGATGGAAAGTTATGGTTCGCGTCAGTTTTCACGCCTGCCCTATGGGTTCTTGATCGCAAGTGACTAATTCGGCTTTGTTGTACATGTTTTTTCTTTCAAAAATATCAATAAATGTCTCTTGTGTTTAAACTTTAAAATGAACATTTGTTTCTAGAGTAGTTGCATCCATTTTCCCTTCTAGCTACTAATATTATGTTTTTCTTTTCGATAAATTAATGTAATATAAATTGTTTTGATCGTTGCAGCTAGTAAATTGGGCGCGTAACGTATAATATGCCTGCCTTTGTAATTGTGGGGTTAATTTTTTGGTTATCCGGTATGACTATTTTTGCCCAAAAGAGGGTACCCAAAAATTCATAACAACAACAATAATAGCAATGAGAGAAGATTTAAGACGCAACATCGAAATTGCTCATCGCAAACAGATAAAGTATAATACCTTTCAGGGGACGATGTGATCATATACATACGTACAGTACTATAGAGCTAACATTGTAGAGAAATCAAGGAATCGTCGTGCCATTAGGCCCATAGTATTGCGGGTTTCTAGCAACATATAATTAATCAAAACACAAATCAAAACATAGGGAATATGTAAAACGATCGACCTTTACGTATATGCCACGAATGATATTTACCTAAACATTTGTATAATAAGATCGTTTTGCAAATCAACTCATTTCTTCTGTATCAAGTTATCAACTTGGTGTATATTATACGTATCTGCCCTGGTTTTTTTTTTTTAGCACTGTAACAAATATTTGGAACAATTAAAATTAATATCAAAGACATCGAGACTAGACCTAACTAATTAATGATAAATGAAACAATTCGTGAACGTAACATATTATTCTTCTTTTGTATCATTTAGGTTTCGACAAAACTTAGTCCAAAATAAAGAAACGCTTCATTCCTTAAAAGGTGAAAACCAACATACACAGCCCCTTTCACTAGTTCCATGCTCACTTTGATTTTACTTACGGTTTTTGCTTTTTATTAGACAACTGGCATCTCAAAACCAAACGATAACGTTTGATACGTTACGTGCATTCCGTGCATCTACTAAACAAAACGAAATCTAGCTAGCTCTATATATAATCATCACAATTTTGCGGTTTTAGCCAACAAGTTAGACATTGGCTAGTGTGTTACACAAGTCTTTTCCAACCCTTTTTTTCTCCGGAGAATGAGCAAAATGTCGATTATCGGGCAGAAAATTCCGAAATGGGTCGTCGTATCGGCTGTTTTGGCCGCCGTGGCCATAATTATGTATAAGATATTCCTTGCGCCAGATCACTTACGAGGCTCCAAAAATATACTGTCGATGGCTAAGACCATTCCTCTCCCTGTAGATGGACCGGAGAGCATTGAATGGGACCCAAAAGGAGAAGGTCCTTATGCTGCGGTCGTGGACGGTCGTATTCTTAAGTGGCGTGGCCATGGTCTCGGTTGGGTCGAGTTCGCCTACACGTCTCCTCTCAGGTTTTTCTTTCGTTTTATGACCATCTATAAGATTATATATATATTTTCAACACAACACATGCAAATATTTTCTGTTGAGTAAGTCATAAAAATAACAAAAATTAAACAAGTAGGACGCGAAAGGACATGGTTATATATATCACATTTATTAACGTACTTTCTTTGGTTTATTTATTTATTAACATTTTAATATTGTGACTTCTCAATATAAATATATTATCCTAAATGTATAAAGAGGGAATTGCTCAAGACATGGAGTAGTGCCTACTTGCGGAAGGCCATTGGGACTTAGTTTCGAGAAGAAAACAGGAGATTTGTACATCTGTGATGGTTACCTTGGGGTCATGAATGTTGGACCAGAGGGAGGCTTGGCCAAATTAGTAGTGGGTGAGGCCGATGGTCGAAAGGTAACATTCGCAAACCAAATGGATATCGACGAAGAAGAAGACGTTCTCTACTTCAATGATAGTAGCGACAAGTACCACTTCAGGTATTTTATACATTCAGCTTTACCTAAGTTGTAACTTGTTAATAACATAGCTGACTTTGTAAAATCTTATATTCTTAATATCGAGTAGGGAAGTATTCTACGTGATTTTCAACGGCGAGAGGTCAGGAAGAGTTGTTAGGTACAACAAGAAGACGAAAGAGGCCAGAGTTGTAATGGACAATCTCCGTTGTAATAACGGTTTAGCTCTAAACAAAGACCGGTCGTTTCTGATCTCATGCGAGTCATCGACGGGACTTGTCCACCGTTACTGGATCAAAGGTCCTAAAGCCGGGACTCGCGATATCTTCGCCAAGGTTCCGGGTTATCCCGACAACATCCGTTTGACACCGACAGGAGATTTCTGGCTTGGCATACATTGTAAGAAAAATCTAATAGGGAGACTGATTGTGAATAATCGGTGGCTCGGGAAGTTGGTTGAGAAGACGGTGAAGTTGAAGTTTTTGATCGGGTTGATGAACGGATTTAAGCCGCATGGGATCGCCGTGAGAATCTCCGGGGAGACAGGGGAGATACTTGAGATACTCGAGGACAAAGAAGGAAAGACGATGCAGTATGTGAGTGAGGCTTATGAGAGACCTGATGGAAAGTTATGGTTTGGGTCCGTTTTCACGCCTGCCGTATGGGTTCTTGATCGCAAGTGAGAGTAACCACATCGTACGTGTATATGTGTATGAATGGATGATCGTTGTTATAAATAATATGTATCTTTGTTTTAAATCAAAGTATATAATGGATTTGTCTGTATGTTTAGTCAGTTGTGTATGGTTTGTTCATATATCTGCAAAATTTAAATGAATCTGAAGAACTTAAAGTAAGGTGCCATCATAGTGAAGTGTCTTCTACGTAATATATAAGGCGAGACTAAAATTTTGATAAAATAAAGAATGGAAGCAGTATTATGTATTTTTTGGAATTAATTCTGACAAAAGTTGAAAAAACAAAAACTTTTAAACTCGATTATAGTTTGAAGCTTTTCCCGAACAATGTGCACCAAACATAAACTTTAGAGTGGTTCCACCATTACAGCAGTAGGGAGAAAAAACGAAGGACCTTCTTACTAATAATTCTTTAAATTATATTCCAATTTGTTGATAATGCCTCACAGATCCTTGAGATACAGTAGGCTGCGCTCAGAGGATACCCTGAAACTGAAGAAAGCAAGAAACCTCTTTCAGATTACATGTCCATTAACAATCTCGGATTTAATTTTCACAGGACGAGTGAAGGAGAGGAAGACTTACTGGACACAAAATCGTCGATATAGTCACATTCTATTTTCCCGTGAGCCATCGCACCGACCTGAAATGATAAAGGGCAAACAAGGCACAAGTTTTGCATTAAGCTTAACGAATTTGGAGTTTGTGTAGAAGTGAGCGAGAACTATGTGGAGTATCACTAACCACAAAAACAGTGTCTGAGTCATTACAGATGGTAGCTAGGTGCTTCTGCATACTGACGAGCTTTTGAGAGCTATGCGAGAATCCTGATAAAAGGAAGAAACAATTCCTTTTTTTTTAAGCTCGTCTTACTGCGGGATAAAAACAGCAAATCTAGGAGGAAGCTTTAGGCTTTCTTTACCTATTTTAATGGAGCCAACAGGTAGATGGTCTTTAACAGGGTTCTTGATCACTCGTAAAAGTTTCTCACGCCCACCAGCTGCAGTAATGCTAAGCTTTTGTAGCAATTGCACTACAAGACCAACAAAATTTTGGATAAGGAACCAAGGGAGGAGCTAAAGTAAGAGAATATCCCTCCCGGAGATTAGAGGAGAATTGAAGAACTCACACATGATTCCAGCGAATCGCTTGTAAGTTCTTGGAATACGAACGTGAGGCTTAACTTCAAAAAGAACACCTTTCTCTGTTCTAACGTAAACAGCTTTCAACCTTCCAGCCTTATTAACCGGACTATCCAAAATCATCAGAAGAGCCTGAAGAGGAAAAGATCACTCAAGATGAGTCGCAGTTTGTTATGAAATATGATTTTATAGTTGTTAAAATCCTGACCTGATGAGTGATGTCTGGTCTGTAATCAGCAGGGTTTCTGTCGTTTTTTCTCAAGAAGTTGGCATGCTCATCAGAGTTGAGAAGCTGGTAAGTCTGCAAACGAGAATAAACACATCTATTAAGCACAAAAGAGGCTCGGAAACTATATTCTTTCAAACAATTGAGCTCTGAGAGCGAATCCATGGAGCTTCTGTGTCATGCAAACATTCCTGAAATTTACCTTTCCAACTTTGGCAACTTCAAGAGAGGCATTCTCAAGCACGAAAACAACGCCAGGCTTCTCCTTCTTATTGTCGGAAAGGACAATAGGTATCCCCTCATCGACATCATCTGCTGCTTCATCACTTACTTCTTTCTCTTCATTGTCTTCCTCTGTCTTTGAGGTGCTTTCTCTTTTCGCCTTCTTAACACTTTCTTCTTCCTTTTGCTTTTGCTCAAACTTGGGTTGCTCATCTTCTTCATCTTCTTCCTTATCGTACCTCTCTTGTCTCTCCTTTCTCTTGTTCACTTTATTCCCATACGCCCTCACCATCTTGCTTCAAAATTTAAGTACATTACGAGACCGCAGAGCAAACAATCAGATGCTAAAGGAGCAACCTTTTTCTCAGAAAAAGGAATATACTACGTAGACGATGAATTCGTACAGAAGGTAATCAAATTAAACTACAGCGAATCAGTGCAAACAATCGCAGTCCCGTATAGCATGAATTCGAAGTTAAACACGAAAATAACGAAACTTTAGATGAAGAACAGCTAAATTAAGATTGAGAAGAAGAAATTATCGCTTACTCTGTATACCCTCGAGCTTGCAAAGAAAATTCAAGTGAGCAGGCGACTGGATTGGAGCGATTCAATAGATAAACCCTAATCCCTAATTTTAAAAGGCCAAGGGGTTTTTCTCCCTTTTTTATTTATTTCATCCAGAATATAGAATTATTTAAGGCCCATTTAGTTTTTAGGGTTTTAAAAGGCCCAATAAGAAAAAGCGACCAGAAACCTAAAACTTACACACGGTCGTCGTCGAATTTCGTTCCGCCGGAGACACGACCGCCTGCCTTTACATGTATTAACAAGTGGTGTGATTCCTTCATTTTATTTTTATTTTTCCTTCAACTTTGGGTTTACTCTGCAATTCGCCGTCAAGGGGAGGAATCTAAGCGGAGAGGGATAATCGTGGCCTTTTATTAACACAGTTTGAAGATGGCGTCTTATGGAGATAGACTGAAGTCGACCTCCATTAATGGAGTTAAGTTATACCATGTTTCTTCTGCCCCCAGTGTTCCGACTTGGCTTAATCCTAAGAAGCAACGAGCTCTGCGTAAAAATCCCCGTAAGTATCTATCTAACTTCTCCGAATCGCTCAGTCTCTGCTCAAAGACTTTTTTTTTTTTTTTTTTTTTGGTTTTCTGGGATGTGGATGTAGCTTAATCATATCTTTGAAAAATTTCTCAAATTCAATGTTCAAAGTTTGATTTTTTGTTTGTTTGTTGGATGAACTATTTACACTGCTTTGTTCTTTGGCTATTTTTCTGTTAAGATTATATGCAAAGAGTGGAGCTGCTTCAGGATTTGAAGTTTGAGACTGCCACTACAAGAATCAAAGCGACCCCAGACGGAGAGTTTCTGATTGCTTCAGGTGCGTTTTCATCAATTTTTTTCCTTTTGGTGAAATTTGTAATCTGGAAGGAAAAAAATGTCTTCTCGTTTGTCTTTTCACTGATTTTCTGTTGAATTAGGAATATATCCACCACAGGTCAAAGTTTATGAGCTAAGGCAGCTTGCTTTGAAGTTTGAGAGGCATTTGGACTCGGAGATTGTTGATTTTGAGGTAAACTTTACTGCACCATGAGTTGTGTCTAAACCTTTCTTGTCTCTGGTTCAACAACGTGTCTGTTGCCTCTACACAGATATTGGATAATGACTACTCAAAGCTTGCCTTCTTATGTGCTGATCGTTCTATTAATCTACACGCCAAATACGGGAAACACCACAGTTTAAGGATTCCAAGGTATTTTTGGCGTTGTTGGTATATTGATATATATTTCGTGATTTTCTTTTTGGTCGAGACATTGGTCTAATAGAAAACGTATATCTGCAGGATGGGGAGAGACATGACATATGATTCCTGGTCTTGTGATCTGCTTTGCGCTGCCTCTTCACCAGACCTATACAGAATCAATTTGGAGCAGGTTTGTTTTTGATGAGTTATTACAGTATGGTCTTGTGACTTACCTCAGTCTATGTTGGAGAATGATTGGTGAAATTTGCCTTCTTTCTCTAGGGAAGATTCCTCGCTCCTCTCAGCACTCAATCCCCAGCCCTTAATGTCGTTTCTCGAAGGTCTGTACACCCACTTGTCATTTCGTTAATTAGAAGATTCGATTGTGGTGCTCTAGAGTTTGGTTGTTCACGTTTGAGCACTATTATTCTTTTCCAGCAACTTACATGGATTAGTCGCTTGTGGTGGCGAGGATGGTGTTGTGGAATGTTTCGATATGAGAATGAAATCATCTGCTGCAAGAATTAATGCTGTTACACATGGTGGGGATGCTGCTGCGGTAATTCTTCTCGACTTATGTTCCATATAAACGGACTTTCGTAGCTTAGATGTGATTTGGCCAAAAGTGAAACAAACTTTCTGATAATCTTGTGCTTTTTTTAATTGGCTATTAGGAGGTTACTGCTATAGAGTTTGATGACAGTGATGGTCTGCAAGTAGCTGTCGGGAGTAGTGCGGGAAAGGTTTGTTTCTTTAACTCATTTTTTTTTTATCTGCAAGGTTTTAGAAACAAGTATCTCAATTTGGCTGTATAGGCATGTTTTGTTGATTTTTCTGTTCTATATCTGCAGGTATTCATATACGACTTGCGTACTTCAGCTCCCATACGAGTGAAGGATCACATGTAAGTATTGCTAACTCAAAATTCATCGTACTGTATATGTATAACCTTAGGGTTTGTTTCCTTTGTGCTCATTGTCTCTTCTGCAAAATTTGCAGGTACGAGAGCCCTATTTTGAGTATTAAGTGGCAACGGACTCTTAATACTCAACAACCTAAGTTGATTACTACTGACAAGCACATTGTTAGAGTATGGGATCCTAATACGGTAAGCTTCCATTAGGATTGGGTTTCTTGAACTCATGAGTTGTGGTATTGAAAAACAACGAATTTAGATTGGATACAGCTTTTGATAACACTCCTTATTTCCAGGGAGAAGGTATGACCAGCATTGAACCGAATGGAGGAGGAATAAACGACATTTGTGTGTTCCGTGGAAGTGGACTTATGCTTCTGGCTTTAGACTCTAGCCTGATCCCTTCTTACTTCATACCTGAACTTGGTCCTGCCCCCAAATGGTGTTCTCCTATTGAAAATCTAACGGTATTTATCTGAATCAAAAAGTATCCTAATCTTTTTGTTATTCTAGTAGTGGTGTGACCATTGTTACACACACTTCTTTTTTAAAAAAAATAAAAAATTGTTCTCAGGAAGAGATGGAGGAAACTGGACAGACAACTATTTACGATAATTACAAATTCGTGACAAAGGAAGATCTGGAGAAGTTGCAGCTGACGCATTTGATTGGCACAGATCTTTTAAAAGCCCAAATGCATGGATATTTTATGAATCACCAGCTGTACAAAAAGGTGAGGCCTTGTCATTTTCATACACTTATAACTTTAGAGTTGTCTCTAATATGTGTATAATAACTTCTTTCTTTCTCTTTACAGGCTTTGGCAGTGGCTGAACCTTTTGCATATGATAAATATTTAGAGCGCAAGAAGCAAGAGAAACTTGAAGCAGAACGTAGCAAGAGAATCACGGTTAGTATTTCTAACCTTGGCAGCATCTGCAGATTCACTATTTTTTTTGTACGTTTGGCTGCTTACATGCATCTCCGTGTGGCTTGTGCTTCGTGCAGAAGAAGAGAAGGTTGCCAAAGGTTAACAGTGCTTTCGCAGATACCCTCCTAGACGAGGAAGATGCAGAAGAGGAAAAGAAAACTGTCGAGGATGTGGAAGCCACAAAGAAAGTGTCAAAGAAGAAGAAACCAGGACTTAGTGCCGAGATTCTCAAAGATCCTCGGTTTGAAGCGATGTTCCAGAATCGGGTATTAACAATAATATTTTCGAGGCTTTTGTTTGTTTTGATTTTTGTTGCTCTATTTCGTATCGCATTAAACCGATTCTTGGGAATCAATCTCTTTGTGGTTTTCAGGACTTCCAAATCGATCCGGAATCCTATGAATATGGTGTCCTACACCCTGTTGCTTCTTCTAAGAAGCAACCTTCGTTGGTAGATGAACACTTTGAAGCTGTAACGGATGACGACGAGAACAGCGATTCTGATGCATCACAAGCTTCAGATGACGAAGCCGACGATGGGAACACAGGACCGAGCAAGAAATCAAAAACTCCAAAGTTAGTGCCTGATTACATTCCAGGATTTAGATGTCACACTATATATCTCTTCTTTCCTGATGTGGTAGATTTGGTGTCAGGTTGTTTGAAGTGAAAGACGAGCGGCACGCAGATGCTTTCTACAATCGCAGATCTTTGGCTAAAGAAGACAGTCTTCCAATGGAAGAGCGTGTCAAGGCTATAGAGAACCGGCGTGGCAACTTTGGAGGCTCGAAAGATGTTAAGTTTGGTCCTGGAGGATCCCGGGAGATTTCTTTCCGCTCGAGACGCGAATCAACATACAAAGAAGACAGAGAAGATAGAGACGATGAGGATGGAGACGGGCAAAGAAACAAAAGGAGAGGAGTACAGTCTCTTGGACTGAAACCGGATAATGTTAGAGGCGGTTTTAGAGGTAGAGGAGGTGGTGGTTTTAGAGGAAGAGGAGGTGGCGGTTCCCGGGGAAGAGGAGGAGGTGGACGTGGTGGTGGTGGTTCCAGAGGAAGAGGTGGCCGCGGTGGTGGTCGAGGAAGAGGCCGGCATTGATAAATGTATCTTTGAGAGGATTTTTATATTAGTTTTGGAAAATGCTTTTACTATTTAAGAGTCTTTGAGACCTCTCATTGATTCACGTTTACAATTTTGGAATATTTTTGACCTGTTCGTAAAATGTAGCAAGTCTGATGTCCGAATCGGAACAACATGTTTTGCTTCCTTGAGCTTAAAGGTATAATGATTGGGATATAGATGACCTAAAAGTTGACCCTAGATCGATAATGCCTTTACATGATGATAGATCATCGACCGTTGTTAATTAATTTAAAATTTAAAAATAACGAGGGTAACATTTACTTCAGTCATTAATCAAATGAGATGCTTCTTTTTTTTTCGGTCAACTAATAAATAAAATGCTTATGTATATGCTTACAACATGAGAATTGCTTATGTATAAGGCTTACAACATCCAACGGTTTGGGACGAGGAAGACGCCCGAAGCTTCTTCCCACCTGATTTCCACGCGCCTCCGACAATTTCTTCAGGCTGAGTCATCTTTCAATATTGTGAATTCTAATCTTTACTACATGCACTTGTCTTATTTAATTCTGATCTAATTTGTCTACTGATGACTGGACTAGGCTCACGCGTGGAACATAGAGTTTGGCATGTGTCGACCTATGTCCTCAGATCCCAATATTTCTCTTTATAGTAATACCGTAATAGTCGTATAACACTTCAAAAACACTTAAAATATAGGTTGTTAAATATTATTTAACAACAGAGATTAGTCTGTTTATTTAATCCTATCATCCGCATATATATATCGCTGGACAACAATATTCCACCTATAGTGCAGGACAATCCCAACCAAACACAGCTTCAAGAGAAAACAGAATCTTTAAACAAACAAAAATGTGTGCATTAGTCCCTCCATTGTTCCCAAACTTTGGGTGGCCGTCGACGGGAGAGTACGAGAGCTACTACCTTGCCGGAGAAAATCTCAACAACGGCACGTTTCTTGAGTTTCCGGTACCGGAGACTTATGGAGTGACTCCTCATCAGGACAGTTTAGGGGTCTCTGTTTCGTCGGAAGGAAATGAAATAGACAATAATCCGGTTGTGATCAAGAAGCTTAATCACAATGCAAGTGAGCGTGACCGTCGCAAGAAGATCAACTCTTTGTTCACATCTCTCCGTTCATGTCTTCCAGCCTCTGATCATTCGGTAAGTATCTACTACTCCGAGATGTCATCTGATTTAGTCTGTTTACTCGATTAGGTATCATTCAGAAGAAGAATATTGAAGGAACTCTTTGTATTCTTTCTTGCAGAAGAAGTTAAGTATTCCTCAGACGGTTTCGCGGAGCTTGAAGTACATACCGGAGCTGCAAGGAGAAGTGAAGAAGCTAATACAAAAGAAGGAAGAACTCTTGGTGCGATTATCGGGTCAAAGAGACATTGAACATTACGTTAAGCCACAACCAAAGGCGGTTGCTCGTTATGTCTCGACCGTTTCAGCGACTAGGCTTGGAGACAACCAAGTGATGGTCCAAATCTCATCGTCCAAGATTCATAGCTTTTCGATATCTAATGTGTTGAGTGGATTAGAAGAAGATGGGTTTGTTCTTGTAGATGTTTCATCTTCAAGTTCTCAAGGAGAAAGGCTCTTCTACACTCTGCATCTTCAAGTGGACAAGATTGATAATCACAAGTTGAATTGCGAAGAGTTAAGTCAAAGGATGTTGTACTTGTATGAGGAATGTGGAAACTCGTTTAGATGATAATATGTTCTTGTTTCTTTTCTATTGAAAATCTAACATTCTTGACCAAAGCGTTGTAGTCGAGTTGTTTCGTTTTTTTTTGGGTCGAAGTCAATGATCGATTACTAATAGACTTACCACTACGTTCATATCACAGCTATAGAATTTAATTTTTTTCAACACTTAGTATCAAGAATAGCAGTATACTTAAAATATTTTTCTGGTTCTACTCTTTGTTTATATATCTTTGGTGATCAACTAAGAGTTAGTTGTTTTTGGTGTAATGAGAAACGACAAAAAGAGGGTAATATTTTTACAACTACTATATTCTTAACTTTGGGCTCCAATATAGAAAGATTCGGTGTATGTAGGTGCATGTAAGCAAGTGGGACTTATTAGTTAATAGATGCCATGCCATTGAAAGAGTTAATTAATCACGAATCATTAGAATACATGATAAAATGAGAAGCCATCGTTATCCATTGATCTTGGAGATAATATGTATATATTAGTAGCGAAGTACAGATTTGGACAAAAGAACAAATAATTGATATCAGATATATAAGGATATGAATTTTTAGCAAACCGTTTATATCAAAAATAGAGAAAATATGAATTTACAGCCCCTTACAGAATGATAAGAGTAGCTTTCGGAGATTATCATATTAGTTCGAAAATGTGGGACCAATAAGAATATTTGAAACCTCATTTATTCACATTTACAATTTTTGGAATATTTGTTTATTCCTTCTGGAATGAATAATTAAATCATAACATAATTTCGGGTTTAACTTAAGACATAATGTATCAAGTTGACCTTAGTATATAATAGTGGGTTTATCGTCATTGAGCGTTATGGGATTAAATAACGAGGCAACATCATGTATTTGATATATTAAACTAGAAATGCTTATGTGTGTGCTTACAACATGGAAATGCTTATGTGTATGCTTACAACATAAAAATGTTTGGGACGAGCTTGCGCCTGATATCCACGTGCTTTCAACATTCTCACTCGGCTGAGTCATCTTTCAGTTTGCAAACAATAGTCTTAAATACATGTAATATTCGTTTTTCATTCTTATACAATAGTCTGGACCTACTTCATGCGTGGAACGTAGTCTCAGGCACGTGTCAACCTATGTCCTCTATATAGGGACCTATAAATTTCTATTTATAGTATTAGTCGTACCACACATATTTATTATATAGTCTTATCTTAACGAATAATATAGTACGTATTATATAGTTTGTTAATTTATATAAACAAGTAGAGATTTATTTATATTTTAAGCAAAAGAAGTATAACTTTTTTATCATCCTGTCCTTGTGTATATATATACAAGAGAATAATATTCCAGCCAAAACAGCTTCATCAAGAGAAAATTATAGAAGACATAATCTAAAAACTTATCCCTAATTAAGCAAAAATGTGTGCATTAGTCCCTCCATTGTTCCCAAACTTTGGGTGGCCGTCAACGGGAGAGTACGAGAGCTATTACGGTGCCGGAGAGAACCTCAACAACGGCACTTTTCTTGATTTTCCGGTACCGGAGACTTATGGAGTGGTTCCTCATCAGGAAAGTTTGGGTGTCTCTGTTTCGTCGGAGGGAAATGAAATAGACAATAACCCGGTTGTGATCAAGAAGCTTAATCACAATGCAAGTGAGCGTGACCGTCGCAAGAAGATCAACTCTTTGCTCTCATCTCTCCGTTCCTGCCTTCCAGCCTCAGATCAATCGGTAAGTAGCTATTTGATATGATGACCATTGTATTTTTAGAATTTCTACGAGTATATGTTAGTATCAAAAGTGTATTACTTAAACTAATAATATATAAAGATATTGATCAATCAACTCACTAACAATTACTTTTAAATTTTTGAAAGTCCATGAAACTTAAGTATATACGCTTGTTTTTGCTTCTATTACTTAAAATATTGATCAATCAACCTTTTTTTTTTCCTTTTCTTTACTTTCTTGCAGAAGAAGTTAAGTATTCCTCAGACGGTTTCAAGGAGCTTGAAGTACATACCGGAGCTGCAAGAGCAAGTAAAGAAGCTAACACAAAAGAAGGAAGAACTCTTGGTGCCAGTATCAGGTCAAAGAGACATTTTCCATTACGATAAGCCACAACCAAAGGCAGTGGCGAGTTATGTCTCGGTCGTTTCTGCGACTAGGCTTGGAGACAACGAAGTAATGGTCCAAATCTCATCATCCGAGACTCATAACTTTTCGATATCTAATGTGTTAAGTGGTTTAGAAGAAGATGGGTTTGTTCTTGTGGATGTTTCATCTTCAAGGTCTCAAGGAGAGAGGCACTTCTACACTTTGCATCTTCAAGTGGACAAGATGGATGATCATTACAAAATGAATTGCGAAGAGTTACGTGAAAGGATGTTGTACTTGTATGAGAAATGTGAATACTCGTTTAGGTGATTACATCCATATGGTGTATCTATCCATTTCTTCTCGTTTCTTTTAGTTGTGTTATTTTTTTCTTAAAATCTAACATTGATCTTGATTCTTGACCAAATCATTTATATAGTCAAGTTGTTTTGGTTTCTTGAAGTCAAAGATCGATTACTACTCATGACCATCTTTCTCTTGAAAAGAAAACCCCACAGAAGAATTAAGTCATTAATATGCGTGAAATAACGAATCATAACAAAACAATAGAACAGACAGGAAAAACAAAATATTCACTGCTATAGATGTCAAACGATGTTACATAGTTTACAATAAAATCAGAACAATTTATAAAAGTTTTTTTTTTAAAAAAGTAGTAGCTGCAGGGCACCAGAGCCCTTTGCCGAAATGTGAATATATATACCTAAACCCTTTTTCTTGGGCCACAAGAAAGCCTCAGAAGGCCAGAAACAGAGGAGGCTTCTTGTTTCAGTTATCCTCGGTGAAGACCTTGAAGATGAAATCACGGAAACGTCTCGAATACAGCCTGGGATCAACGGCTGAGATCGAAGTAGGGTCATATTGAATGCTCTTGTAAGCATGTTCGAGTTTCTTGCTAATGTCATAGTCTTGAAGAATGTCTATGATTCCAAAGATCATGACAACCTCGTAGTACTCTCCTGTTGGTTCCCCAACTAGCTGGAACTCACACTCGTTTCTCCTCATCGTCCTCTCTGCTCGAGCCGGCATGTTTCCTCCAAGTCTGATACTAGCCCACCTGCAACACCAAACCGGTTTATGTTTATTGGACCCGAAATCAAGAAATTCTGTTTCTAAGTAATGAGTTTAGATTGTCTTTTGTGTTTTTTTTTTACCTTGTGGGATCAGATAGAAGCTGATCCACGTCTGCTCTGGAGAGACGAGGAGCTGTTTCGTCTTCATATTCACCTGCAGTTGCAAGAAAGACACATATTTGGTTGATGCATTCTAATGGAGAGATATGATTTTTTTAGGTTTTTTTTTGTTCAGGAGTACGAACCAATAGGCGTGCGAGCTCCAGAAGGAATTAGCTCTCCAGCGACTGATGCTTCTCTGAAATGAATCCCAACAAGAAGACTGTAATCCATGATTCTCTCCTGTTCTAGAAACTCGCAGTCTTTGTCGACTTGCCTGAAAAGAAAAGAAAAAAAACAGTTAATGGTCATATAATAAATAACAGTGAATGAAAAAGTTTTTAAGGAAAGAGATAGTCTTGTAACCTGATGAATTCTTGGTACCAAGCTTTCTGTAGTCTGAAAATGAAATTCAGATCAAGATCTTTCAAGATTGTGTTTGAATTGATCTCTGATTCAGGTTTATCGGTTGTACGGCCAAGAGAAGATCCTTTCAAATCAAAGCGTCTGTGGATTGAGTACTCAGAACAAAATAGATTCCCCATTATCACAAACCGCACCTGCAGAACTGAATACAATTAAAATCCAAAGCCAAAATTTTCTTGTTCTTCTTATTTCTATTTAGCATTGTTATTACTACTACTGACCTTCTTTTGGATTGGTCCAGTCAATTTCACACAGTGGAGACCGTAGAATCTAATCACCAAAGTGTTCTCAAATGCTCGAACATGGTTGTAATATGCTGCAAGCATTCTCAGAAGCACCTGCATAGATCATACAATTCAAGAAAGCAGTTAATATGTGTAACAGCCACACACTCTTCATCGTCTTTGTCATGTAACTCACTTTAGTTTCAGACTTCTTCATTGTCTTTATCATGTAACGGTCATCGTTTGTTAAGTAGAAAAAGCTTCCACTTTTGCCAGGGGATGATAGCTCCCTAAGGGCGTCATTACCGCATATAGATAACATGTAATCAGCTGGATCTACCTTGAATAGCTTCCTCAAGCTCCTGAAGATAGTTTAATATAACACAACATAGTGTAAGAATAAGAACCACTGAGAAATAAGTAAAGAGATTGTTATTTGTATCTCACCTGAAAACTAATGGGCAATAGTCTTTCCATTTGAATTCACTAGATTGATGAGGAGGTGTGTATTTGGTTCCTTCTGGTGGAAATCTCGTCCACACCTTCTCCTTTGGATCAAAAGCTGAATGCTTAAGATCAAGAGACACAACCGGAGCTTGCTTTCCAACAGCATGTCTGATTCCAAGCTGTAGATTAAGCATGAGCTCGTAATTGCGATGGCCTTTGGATATGGTCTCGCCTTGCTTCCTCCCTGCTCTTGGCAATCTCATAGGGACAGGGCTAGGTCTTAAGCTCTGAATGAAGCCTTCGGCCTCAAGTCTCATAATCTCAGCATCCAAATCTCTCCTTGTGGTTGAATCAATATCAGCAGCGCCTTCACCGCTTTCGCTTCCCCACATATTCATCTTCTCAAACGCTCTATCTACTCCAACACTCACCCTCCCATCAACAGACATCCTCCTCGGTATCTCCACACGCTTCGAAGAGTTCCAAACAGAGAGCTTCTTCTGCGAAGGCAACACCGGAACCCTCTCTCCGCTGCATATCTGGTACTCACTCAGATTGTTGAACACGTCTTTAGGGTCCCATTCAAGATCACCTTCGTCCCCTGATGGGTAATACGTACCGTTCATCTCTTCAGGATCTTTAGACCAGTGACCAACGTAGAAACTCCCATCGTCCCATTTGAAAGTACCGTTCCCGCTAGGGAAACCTTCATCCCAAAACCCGTCGTATCTACAACCATCAGTCCAAACAAAAGTACCTTTGCCACAGATCATACCGTTCTTCCATTCCCCAATGTAATAACTCTTGTCTCTCCAACGATACTTCCCTTGAGTTTCTTGCAAACCCCTCCTCCATTCACCGTCATACACGTCTCCGTTTGCGAAACTCTTGATCCCATGTCCATGTTTCAGGTTCATCACCCACTGGCCTCTGTAAGTATCTCCACTAGGACCTGTGTAAGTGCCAATCCCATCCATGTATCCGCTTTTGAACTCGCCTTCGTACGTGGCACCAGAGGGCCAACCGAACTTTCCTTTCCCCATAGTCTTCCCGTTGTACCACTCACCAATGTACATGCAACCATCTGTCCATAGATACTTGCCGTGACCGTGAGGGAAACTATCAAACCACTGCCCTGTGTAATAGTCTCCGTTGGGAAGTATTCTCTCTGCCTGGTACAAGTCCCCTGTGCCGCTTCTGTTAGTGCTGCTCTCGTCATCATTATCATCAGTCGGAGTTGTGTCATCATATGTCTGTGGAGCTACCGATACCGTCCCGAAAATGCTGTTTGCACGCTTCTTCGCTTGTTGGGTCTTTCTCACCGTCACCTCCCAAGCTTTTAGAACACAGCTTTGTTCCTTGCTCATCTTTATATTTTTTTCTAGAGAACTATATATATATATATCCTAGAAAAAACCCTAAGAAAACATATTATGTTTCTTGTCTAAACAACATCCTATAGATGTACATATACACAAGAGAACAAGATCATGAACTCTGTGCGGAAAAGGACAAACAGTAAACCTAAAACTATTCAATGATCAAAAGCAGCATCAATGTTTCTTCCTTTGTGGTCCATTTGTCATTCAATAGTATGAAAAAGAAAAGAGTTTATTTTGTCTTTTTAGATTGCAACATTTTCGGATGTGAATGCTGCTCTGAACGATCATCAGCCAAACCTAACAAAGAATCAGAGAGAGAGAAAAACTAATGGCCAAAAGAGTTAAGGAATCAAAACATCTCTCCGACATTTCATCTTTTCTTGTCAATTCCTCTTTTAACTAATTCCGTCATTCAAAGAAGAAACCGTTCATCTCCTCAAACCACTAAAAGCCTTCAAATTTAGAGAAACAAGCGAGACCCATTTCTTTCTATTCTTAGCATTTCCGGTTTTTCCTCTCACAAACATACATATATATATTCTTTAAATAAAAACAAGCAAGATGCCTTAAGAATGTAATCATATTACATAATTTAAATAAAAGTTTTTAACTCTGTTAATTAAAAAGAATTGAATGCAAATTCCTTCAAAAATTCATCACACAATAATATACTTGGGCCATTTTTAATTTGTGACACCAAATTCAAGACAATATTGTTTTACTTTTCCATCAAGAAACACACCTAGAGAGGCCGTAACAACAAACAGAACCAAAAGACCTAGCGTCGTCATAAGCTTTTCTAAACTTGAAAATGTTAGAACATCAATAGTATACTAATGTGGATGCTCTGCTCTTGGAAACAGAGCACATATGTACGATCAATTTCTTGTAAAACCACAAACGATACAAGTAATATTCCTTATTACTTAGAAATATCCTAGTGTCGTCTTAACAATATGAGCTGCATCAGTCCAACACTTTTTGCCAGTAAAACCACTGGGATCACCACAAAAACGAGATATTACTGTTAACTTTTCCATCAGTCGAGCAACACTAGAGATACTAAAACACATAAAGAGAAAGAGTCATCAGAAAACGAAACATGGTCCAACGTTTGACGAGTTATGGGAAACCAAAGTGTCCCATGAGGATGTGGGAAGCCACAGTCCTAATGAAACTCAGAGACTGATGATGCAGTTAAAATAAATGTTTTTCATTGTCTCTGTTTTTGTAAACGTTTATAACTTTTTTATGTTAACAATAACGTCTCTTGAGGTTGAAATTTCGAAAAAAGTTCAACAAAGTCGGCATCTTTCTTAGTTTCTTATCTCAGAATAAAAAAAAATTGAAACCCAAAGAGAGAATCTTTTATCTCATGACGACAAAGCCAAAGACCAGAGAGAACCAACAACAAAACAAAGAAAAGAGACCTTTATTGCCGGAAGCTGACTCACCATATTCACCAGCCAATCATAATCTCGATTCGTTTTTTTTCTCTCTTCAACGGTCCTTAATTATCCGATATTTCATCCAAAATCCTAACCCCAATAAAAAAAAAAGCTTACTTTTCTGTTGCTTTCTGAGAAAAAAAATTGTTCTCACCGTTGGAATCGAAAATGGGTCGAATCGGTATAGTGGTTTCTGATCTGGTATTGTCGTTCATGTGGATATGGGCAGGAGTTCTGGTCAACATCTTAGTCCATGGAGTTCTCGGTTTTAGCCGGAAGGATACGACCGGTGACATCGTCCGATATCTCTTCTCCGTCATCTCAATGTTCGTCTTCGCTTTCCTTCAGAAACTCACCAAAGGCGGACTTTACAATCCTTTGACCGCTTTGGCTTCTGGTGTCACCGGTGGATTCGGCAGTTTCATCTTCACCGTCTTGGTTCGAATCCCAGCAGAGGTTTGTCTCGTTGACTTTTTCTTGGTGAATTGAAACTTCTCTGGATTTTGTAACTCGCTAATACCTGTGGCAAGAAATTAGGGCTTGTGTGCTGCTGTATAATGTCAAAATTACTGGGAAATTTGAGAAATTTGGGTGATGGATCTATCATCTATGTAGAATTTAGGTACTGGGTTCTTCTCAGGAAATCAGATCATCTTTGTTTTATGCTCTAATAATTCATAAAGGCTTGGTCTTGGAGATCCTTTTAGCTGCAAAATTCACTTTTGTGTTGTGTAATCAAAGGTGACATTTTTTTGTGGGATTCGTGGTTCTGTCTTCTATTACACAGGTATTAGGATCAATCCTTGCGGTTAAGCATATCATTCACACTTTCCCTGAGATTGGGAAAGGACCTCGGCTAAACGTAGCAATCCATCACGGTGCTTTAACCGAAGGGATACTAACATTTTTCATAGTGATGCTCTCATTGGGACTAGCAAGAAAGATCCCAGGAAGTTTCTTCATGAAGACTTGGATTGGTAGTATTGCTAAGTTAACTCTTCATGTTCTTGGCGCTGACTTAACCGGCGGATGCATGAATCCAGCAGCTGTATGTACCCCTAAGTCTTGTGGTTTTGATTTTCAGCAATAAACTGTGTTTGTTTGATTGATTGTTTTGTGTGAAAATCTTTTGCAGGTTATGGGATGGGCTTATGCACGCGGTGAACATATAACGAAGGAGCATTTGCTTGTGTACTGGCTTGGACCTGTGAAGGCTACTTTGCTCGCTGTTTGGTTCTTCAATGTTGTGTTTAAGCCTCTGACTGAAGAACAAGAGAAGCCTAAGGCTAAATCTGAGTGAGGACTGAGGTCAGTTTTCGTTTTCAATCCCCTCCGGATAAGACTCCTTCACGCAAGTACACAACACATAAAGGGTGTGGTCGGTTCTATATCGATGGGTTTTTTTTTTCTCTTTCTTAGCTTCTGCAATGTGATTTTATGTAGCAAACTAGAGTGTATCAATCAGTTTTCAATAAAATCTGAATTTTAGTGAATGCAGTGTTATTTATAGATGGAGTAAAAGTATTTGGTTTATTGCAAAAAAAAAAAAAAAAAACCATGTTTCTCAGTTTTTGATCATTCAATTACAAGAAATCAAGAACCAAATCATAATCTCAAGACTTGACATTACAGCTACTAATAGACAAGATTAGGCTCAAACTCAGCGAAGTCAACGGAGCCAGACTCAACAGGAGGCATGAGATAAGCAGCCAAGATCTCAGATACTAACGCAGCAATGTGAGGAATCCGCTTGAGGTTCTTGATGAAGGAAGGATCATCGGTTTGTCCTACAGCCATCAGCTTCTCGTTGATCACAACCATTCTATCCAGTTTCCTCTTGAACTCAGGGTTCTCAACATCCAGCACCGCCGGGAATATTCTTGCCGTGGTTCGGTTCGTCTGCAACAAAGTTTCAACATTTCAGAAAAGGGCCATAACACAGCTTAATATACAGTATAATCTTCTCTGGTTTCAAGCTCTTTTACCTCGATGATGACGTGCATATCGAACTCCTTTGTGTTTAACCCAATACCCTCGTAGAAATCAGTTCTTTGACAATCGTTGAGGTACATAGTCACATACACCTGCAAAGCCAATTCTCTTAACGGTTAGGCCAATGTCTTGACGTATTTGAAGTAGAGAGAGTTTAAGAGAGTGTAGTTTTAATCACCGAGAGGCAGAAGAACCGGGACCAGAGCTTGGCTTGCCAGTCATTGAGGAACTGAGGCTGAGCTTTCATCAAAGCAGAGAAGAAATCTCCATGACGGTTCTCGTCTTGGCACCAGTTCTCAAAGTACTTGAAGATTGGGTAACATTGGTACTCAGGGTTTTGCTTGAGGTGTCTGTAGATGGTGATGTATCTCCAGTACCCGATCTTCTCGGATAAGTAAGTCGCGTAGAAGATGAACTTTGGTTTGAAGAAAGTGTACTTCCTTGCCTTTGTCAAGAAACCCAAGTCAAGAGCCAAGTTGAAATCAGACAAACCCTTGTTCAAGAACCTGCAAAAGGTTTTTTAGTTTCCATCAAATCGCCAATTCTCAATTACAACACATGCAGATAAAACTGAAGAGAAGAGGCTTCAGTTAAGAGATTTTACCCGGCATGTCTTGCTTCATCTCTGGACATAAGTGAGAAGATCTCAGCCACAACAGGGTTTGTTTTCTGCAATGCCATGATCAGATTAAAACATTAAAACTAGACCAATAAAATGATCCAGTGAAACAACATTCAAGTGTCACATGTTCTTAACTACCACCTAATGAGTCTATCTTCAAGGATAATGTAACAAGAATCACTAAACCAAGAGCAACTCTTGAAAACACAAATTAAAAACAAGAAGCTACTCACTAGTTCACAACAGTCATATAAGAATTTAACTTGTATGCAATCAATCGGTTTCACAACAACAATCATTTTTCACATAGCCTTATTTATCATTAAGTTACATTATTTCAATTTTCTATCAAAGTGAAATTATCTAACAGTTGTGGATTCAAATCTCAAAAAGATACCTTGAGTCTTCTGCCAAGCTCCTTGTAGAGAAGGAAACCAGAGAATTCGGCAGTACAGGACCGCTCAAGAAACTCGACGAAGATCTGTCGGAGAGGTCCCTGCAATTTGTCGGCTGCTTCTTTAAACTCCTTGTTCCTGACGAAATGTGTCTGATTGTAATCGGTCTTAAACTCTTGAAGCAGAGCAATGAACTCTTCCTCGTTGAGGTTCTTGTTGATCTCGGTGTTGAAGAGCTGTTCCATCTCCTCGAAATCCGTCGTGTAGAACCTCGGAGTCAGAAGCGATTCCTGAATCTCTTTCTTCGTCCCCTTCTTGGATTTCGCGGTGGCGGTGGTCGGAGGCGGCGGCGAGGATGTGGCTGACATTCTGATCACGGTGGAGAAACGTCGGCCGGAGAGGTATTTGCTTGGGTTGGTGAGCTTCGGGGATGTGAACTTGGAGATGGGTTTCACGAACGCCATTTCCGCAGCCATTGATTATGAGTTGCAGAAGCAAGAGAAAGAGTGAGAGAGAGCAAGGAGCTAGAGGAAGAAGATGAGGTTGCGAGGAATTTTATAACCGGGAAATCTCATCCAGTGAAAATCTGAGCTCTGATGTGGGCGCTTGACACGTGGCGAAATGTTGTTGGTTATTCTTGATTGCATTGTCTTCTTGATAATATATTTTTTTTTTGTGAATTCGTAATTTAACACCACATGTACAATTCGGAAACAAATAATCAAAACAAAAATATGTGACTTATGAAGAATTAACAAATGTAAAATGAAAACCAATCACCCAATAAAAAAAATAAGAGAAAATAATTCCGAAAATACAATAGTATACATTACAATCTGTGGTCCAAATCTTTTTAATAACAAAAAGAGAGAAAATATGTGATGCTGGTGATATCCAGATGTGCCATTCTGGTAATATAAATACAACTAAAAAATGAGGGGAAAAAAATAAAGAAATAGAAAAATCTAAATCTCATCAAACTCACAAAACCTACAATGTTTCTCGTTCCTCTGGATTTTTTCCCACCTTTTATATGAACCACAGTTAACGAATGAGAAAGAAATCTCCACTTTCTCCAGCTTCAAGCCCTTCTCTAGCAAGTTAACGAAAAAGAAAGAGTCCAATAAGGATAGTTTTAGGGCTGAGAAGATAGGTTTCTTATAAAGCAAGCAACAAGCTTTGGCACCAGAGAAACAGAGAGAGGCTAAGGGTTAATAAGTTACCTCTATTTACGAAGCATTGGTGAAGTAGATTGAGGAGAGCTTGTTCCATCTTCAGATCCTGCGTTTATATTCATACCTTTATCGGTATTCCAATTTCGTTCATACCCTTCAACTTTTTCTTGATCATCAATGGAGACTCGAACGCGTTTCCCTGCATCTCCGTGATCTTCATTATCATCATCACTTGAAGATCCTCCTGATTCTTCTCCCTTTCTCCCATCCTTGTAACAACTGTCCTCATTGGTAAGAAAAGGGTCAAAAGGAGAAATGATTCCCTCATTATGATGTTGATGATGAGTGTGGTGATGATGATCCTTAGCCTTCAAGTCATCTTCCTCGCAATCATCCTCAAGGTCTTCATAGTTTAGATTCCGGAGAATCTCAGGGAGTGAGTAACTTTTTCCACTCTCGTCAACAATCCTTCCTCCTCCCATTTCGATATCGATCTTCTCTTTCGAGCTAACTAGGCTTTCACCAAAATTAGAAGTAGGAGTTTCGACCATCATATAATCTTCTTCCTTCACAAATGATCTGAACTTGTTCATTGATGGAGGAATCTTAGACAGGAATATTTCCCATATGTTCCCCAAAACTCCTTTGTTGTATGGATTCTCCTTCTTATCATATCGGTAACGGAAATTCTCATAAGTGGTCTGCACAAAAAAATAGATTCGCCATTAAAACAAAACAGAGAAAGAACCAACAACAAACCAGAAAGATTGGAATAAAGCATAGATCTTTCTAATCACCTGGTTAGTGCAGATGAGATAGGAATGAAATATAGTGAGTCCACCGACAAACCAAACGGTAATGAAGCAGTAAACTATGAGAATATCCGACAGAACATCTTTGGATATAGCTTTCCAGATACTAATCTTCTCATCCATATGTCTTTGGAATATGTTCAACCAAGAAAACACAAACACATATATGCACAGAGTGGTTGATGTGGATATGAACATGAAGAAGAAGCGGTAATTTCTCTGCAAAAGAACCAAATAACACTTTCACAAAACACACACAGAGTCTATATACAGTTCTTGAGAGCAAAGTCATTTTACTAACTTACCAGTCCAATGCACTGGCCAACCCAGGGGCAGTGATGGTCGAATCTCTGGACACAGTTGTTGCAGATGGAGCAATGAGAAGCTCGAGGTGGACGGTAAAGCAAACAAGTGTCACAGAACTTAACTTTCACGGTATGGCCATTAACGGTTACATCTTTGACCCTTGGTAACCTTATATTTGGGGTTCTACCACTAACCCATTCCATCGATGGAGTGGTTGAATCAGGTGCGTCATCTGATTCCGGCGGCCTTAGGCTTCTTGGCACAATCCCCGGATCTCTACCAGATGTCATGAAGAGGAAGAATATGTCCTGAAGAAAACTATTGAAACTTTAGTTTCGGAATGAGTTTGTACAATACAATATACAGAGTTGGAAAGAAGAAGACATACCAAAAGGGTGAGTATCCAAGACACACAGAGAATTGGTATACAGTGAATTGGATTCTTGGTACGAGGATCAGCCATTTTCATATACATTTTTACAAAGAACATCACTGCGGGACCAAATATCAAGATGGTTGATAGATATAGAGATGATGCATCTGGACCAAAGATTAACCTCCCGCCACATAGAAATTTCTGATATAAAAAAAAAAAGGGAAAATCAAAGTCAAATACAAAACCCAATCAAAGAACAAGAAAAGCTTAGACACAATCAAGAGTCAAGATACTAACAACTGAATCTAGCCAAAGAATGAATAAGAGAGGTTTTAATGAAGCCAGAGAATGATCTAAACACAACAGCTGAACTGAATCTATTAAAAAGCTATTGACTTTTGCTCGTTTATCTAATTACCAAAGTGGCAAAATCAAGAGTGAAATTCTATGACTTGGACTCAAAGGAATCCAATTGAATCAAATGGAAGTGGGATTTCATGCCCAAAACTTGTGTGATTAATCTTCTGCAGACCAGAAATGGGGAGAGATTAAACGTGAAACGAAAGAAAAAAAAAAAGTGAAATTTTAGAACTCACATTGCTTCCCCTCCAGACTTGATAGAGCCTCTTGAGTTTTGTCTCATTCCAGGCCATAGCTAAAAGGGGGAAGATACGAAGAACAAAAGCAAAGTAAAGAAATTTCGAAGAACCCAGAATCAGAAAAGCGTAGGAGAAGAATCCATGGACAAAGCTGATCAGAGAAGGGATCAAATCAGAAAAAACCCAGAAACGAAAAAACTATCTTCTTTCCTCCGAAGAAAGATTCAAAATTTCAAAACACTCGAATTTGATTTTGTAGTTCAAGAGGGAGAGAGACAGGAAAATTGAAGCTGTCCTCTCCACTCGAATCACAAGAATTATATCAGATGTTTGCAAATTGCGATCCCTTTTTCCTTTTTTTCTCTTCTCTTTCCTTATTTTATTTTTATATTTTTGGGTAAAAGAATATCTATTTTATCCGCTTCTCATTGCCGAATAATTTAGATGGAGTTAATGGAGACATAGTATGTAATAAGAATGTAATTAGGAAAATTGATTATCCGAATACAGTATGTTTGTAAGAAGGAATAAATTTCTTTCTTGTTTAGTTAGATTTTTTTATTTAATTTGTTTAAGTATTGTTAATAAATGGTCGGCCAACTATATCTAAAAATAATAAATTAGATGATGCAACAATGAGCTGTGAAAGCAAGTCAAATCATCCCTCAATTAAACGTGCTTCACACATAGATTTGTGTCCATCGTTTGTGTTTCTCTTCTTCTCTCTTGTTTAAATTTTATAATGCTACACCTCTGCGAAATTAAATGTTTATTTTTAATTAGTTAATCTTCTATCTATGCTTTCAGAAGAAGCTGTATGTAATATTCATACCAGTACTTTCAAAAGAAGAAGTTTATTTTGTATCAATATCATACAGAAGCGTCTAAATCTATAACTTTTCAACATTCGTAGCAAAAAATATAAGAAGTCAATTTGATTAAAGATCACACAAAGTAGGATGACAGTGACTGACTAGTGAAAGACATTAGTCATAAGCTTTTGCTTAATCGGTAAAGTATTTTAAGTTTTACCGATTACATTCTTCACCATGTTATTTTGCTTATTTGTCAACCCATAAAAATTATAAACATCTTAACGAATCTTCATCTCTTTCCATCACCCTCTTTCTCTTTGTTATTCCTTTTGTTTACTGTAATTTTCTCCATTTTTTCTTGTATACCCTACCGTGGGACCCAAGAAACACCACATATTATATAAACCCTAATAGAAAGATGGAGACAATGAAATACACCAAACTGAATTACCACGCAATAAACCACTATATACACTAATTCTCCTAACTTCTGTTCTAAATGCGAGAAAGTTTAAAAGTCAGTTCAGACGAGTAAAAGACAGAGATAGAGAGAGAGGTACATGGCTTTGAATTACATAAGTAAAACTTTACACCTGTTTTGTCTGGTCTTTGCCCTATATTGATCTCATATCCACGCTCGAGTTTCTCCATGAAATCGCTGGTAAACAGAGCCAATCGTTGCAGCGCCTTCATGGCTTCATCTACACTTATCTTCTTGGCAGTGGCGTCACTGTTGTTGCCGTAATCCAGCTCCTGAAGTCGCAAATCGAGGTTATCATGATCAGGCTTCTCACTGCCCATTTCCGTGTCTCGGGGACCCGAGTGCTTTGCCTAGCTCAGAGGCGATGGATCCGACCTCCACATCGTCTTCTTCTTCTGGTATCAAATCTCGAAAATTGATCAAAGATGGTGGGATTTTGGCGAAGAACAGCTCCATGAAGTTCTGATAGATCCCCTTTCGGTAAGGGTTTTCCTTCTTATCGTAATGGTTCCTGAAATTCTCACAGGTCGTCTGCAAAAAACATTGCAAAAGAATCAGACCAACAGTACTCAACAAGTGATTAGAAACTACGAGATCTCATTCACTGCTTGCTTAAAAAAAGCAAAAGAAACTTGCCTGGTTGGTGCAGATCAGGTAGAAGTGGAAGACAGTAAGTCCACCAACAAACCAGACGGAAACAAAGCAGTAGAGAGCAAGAACACCTAATATCACGTCATCAGCGAGGACGAGATAGAACTCGCCATGGACTTCAAGCATGCTGATCAACGAGAAGGCAAAGACGTAGAGGCAGAGGAGTGTAGAACATGATAAGAAACAGACGAAGAACGGATAGTTACGCTGCAAAGAAGCCAGTAGTTTAACATGTTAAATCATTTCTTTTTGTTTTAGGAAATGAGAGACGAAGTGATTTTCAATAAGACTCACCAAGGCGATGCACTGGCCTACCCATGGACAGTGATGATCAAACCTTTGGACACAGTTGTTGCAGATTGAGCAGTGAGAGGCGCGAGGAGGACGGTATAGCTTACAGGTATCGCAGAACTTAACCTTGACGGTGAAGCCATTCACCGTTACATCTCTTGTACGAGGAAGTTTCGCATTTCCGACTTTGTCACTCACCCATTCCAAGGATTGGGTGACAACCTCAGGGGTTTCTGAGACAGGAGCTTCTTTGTTCCTTGGGATAATCCCGGGATCTCTCGTGGATGTCAAGTAGAGAAATGTGAAATCCTGCATAAGAAAGAAGACGTAAGAGGTGCAGGAAGAATCTGACTCTCTTAGCTTACAAAGCAAGTAAGTTTGCTTTGTACCAAGATTGTGAGAAGAATTGCACCAAACAAAACCAGAGAATGGAATAAAGGGTGGCGATCTGTGATTAAACAAGCGATCCTGATGCAGAAAGTGATAGCTGGCGCTCCTATCATACATGTCGTCAAAAGAAGCGAAGATGCGTCTGGACCAAACACTATTCTTCCCCCGCAGATAAATTTCTGCAACCATAGAGACAAAAATCCACTTCAGACTAACATTTGGTATATATAGGATCTTGTGTTTGCTCTAATCATGTGAGAAACAATCTGCACACAGGAATCTGACACTATTTCCAAACTAAAGGCTAAAACATATAAAGAGGAACCTCAAGTAATAATACAAACCCTAGAACAGAGAAACCGTAATTACTAGCAAATCAATTCCGAGCATCTTCAGCAAAATGAAAACTTTCTTATGTCAGATCATCACAGAATTCAAAAACTCCTGCTTTTTTTTTTGTAAAATACGAAAAGAGTTCTCATTTAACGCCAGGATACATCTGAATCAGGGGGAAACAACAAACGGAGATGTTTACATTTTTGCCGGGCCAGACTTGATAGATCCTTTTTCGTTCATGATTCTGAGAAGACATTGGCGTTTTTATTTTCGTCGGAGAGTGAAACTGACAGATTTGTTCTTCGCTTTTTCCAGTCTCAGAATCGGCGGCCAAATCAAAGCTTCATGTCCAATTTCTTGTTTCCGTGTTCTCGACTCAATCTCGCGGCCAGCGAATGAAACCGGAAAATGTCAAAAAATCCTGCCGCCGATTTTTTTTTTCCGGCTTTTCTCCTTCCGATCCTCTCCTTCTTTCTTCTTCTTCTGATTATGGTTTCTGTGTTGAGAAATCTGTTTCTGTCTCTCTCTCCCTCCATAGATTTGTCCTCCGCCATTGGAAGTTCCTCAACACCAACATTCTCTGGAACAACCTTAACATAGCTTTCTCGCCATCTCACCACTGCGAGAGCCACGTGTCATGAGTCAACATTCTATTACAGGGTACCACACTCCGGTTATTCAATTCAACCCGAATCGAGTTATGCTTAAAAGTCGGTTCGGTTTGCAATTTCTATATTTGAAGGACATGTAATCAAAACTAAACCGGACTATCAATGATAAAATTCAAACCGAACCCAGAAAATTCAATTTTTTCGATTTTTAAAAACTAGAAAACTCGAATGCATACCAAACTGCGAACCGGATTGAGCCGGATCAAATCCAATCCGTTCGTTAAGAAGACGCAGAGAGAAGGGAAAAAGCTTATCCAGAAACTAAGCTTCAAATGAAGTTCTGAAGGCGAAGTTCTTTCATTCGAAGAAGATGGCTCTTCTCTGTTTCAATTCTCTCTCTCCTCTCTCTTCTCTCCCTCCTCTCTCCTCTCCGCGCCTTCAACTTTCGTCTTTCGCTTCACCAGGTACACATTTCAACTCGTTTCTAGTCTCGACGTATCGCTTCGTTTCTCCGCGAAATCGTATTGGAAAATTCTCCATTACAGACCCATGAAACCAAACTCCTGTTAATGGGCTACTTCAATTTCTTGTTTATTATTGAAGCAAAAAAGTGTTTTTTAAAAAAATGTAGTCGGATTCTAAACTGAAGTAGACTTTCATCGAGGCATTTCATCGAACACTTTAGATTTGATGATTCTTAGGTTTACTTGTGAATGCCCTAATCTTTTGGTTTCTTCATCGTTCGTATGATTCTTAGGTTTACTTGTGATTGCCCTGATCTTTTGGTTTCTTCATCGTTCGTATTTCAGTTTTCAGCCTTAAATCGAGCGCCGTTGAGTCCAAGAACATACTCCCTCTCAGTGCTTACAACTTAAGCAGTAGCCACCATGGAAGAGCAGCAATTGTGAAGGCGGCTGCCTCTGGAGTGGACGGGGCTGAGCCCGCGAGCAATGAGGAACCAAAGACTGTTGCTGCTGCTGTCCCGGTCGACAAACTACCATTGGAATCAAAAGAAGCTAAACAGAAGCTACTGCTGGAACTGAGGGAGAAGATGAAGTTGGCCAAGAAGATCAGGCTTCGCAGGAAGCGTCTGGTTCGTAAGCGTAAGATGAGGAAGAAGGGTCGATGGCCACCTTCCAAGATGAAGAAGCTCAAGAATGTTTAGAGATGACTCTCTCCTGCCTTTTTTTAATTGGATCTTTTGTTTGTTTGTAATTTTACAGAACCATTGAATGGCTTTTCAAATGCAAACACTGTTTTTGGATTAATCTCAAGCTGAGTTGTTCTTTAAAAAAGGAACCATTCGTATACAAAAAGAGTGAGCAGTCTATAGATGGAACCAAAAAGTTTGGAACTTTTGCATTGAACCATTTTGGTTATTAAGGAAGAACATGTGAGCGGAAGATGAGAGGATAGGTGCAGCAGTATCCGGTGCTCCAACACTGAAACAAGGTTTATTTGAAAGATTGATTATCAAACCGATTCTATCTATTAACATAGATTGCATAATACGAGACTTCAGTTACGCATAGGGCTTACCACGGAAAGGAGTGGACCTTGCTTGAACTTGTCATGGAATGAAAAGGAGAGAGCTTTCGGGTTTTCACCGGGTCCTCTGATGAAACCACTGTAAATGATAAAGCCATAGGTTTTGTCTTTCGATTTAGACTATGCAAAGATACACAAAAGGAGCTCAAGGCTGATGGATGGATGGATGATTGTAGAAACTGTACTTACACAAGTGATGCTGATACTATAGGTGTTCTTCGTGTGTCGTAGATGGCAATCAATCCTTTGTAATTCTCATCACCTCCTTTGTATGACACAGCCAATCGTTCCCCAGATGCATCCCATGCTATCTTCTCGATTCCCTCGCTGGTTGTTTAGTTATGAAAACCACAATTATGAACAAACATTCAAAGAAAGACCTCTCTGAGGGTTTAGTTTAACAACAATCAGATCATTTACCTGCCAGTCAAAGTAGCTATCTCTGGTAATTCAACTGGTAATAGATGGGCATCTGTAAATACACCAAAACAGGATGCTCAGGATGCTAAATGGTAAGTGTTTCTAGTAGCATACGCAAAACAACTTTCCAAAAAATTCTGCATACCCAAGGATGGTGGCTTGGATGAGAAATGAACAGAACCCAGAGTTGAAGATTTTGAAAATGAAATCAAGATAAACCGTCCTTCAGGATCCCATATTGCTCCCTGCCAAGAGAAGTATCATATTTTGATCTTTTCAAGAGAAAATGAAACACGGTTGAAATTTCATACATCAAAGAAGGGACATATTCTATACTTGGTGAATATCAGTGCATACAAATACATGCGAGATTGACCTCATCCAACAAAAACCGCTTCTAACAATAATCTATTTGCATATCTCACTATCCTATGAACTGAGCCACAGTAAAATTTACCGTGACAGATCCAGATCCAGTAGACAAAGACCAAGGCTCAGATGTCCATGTGTTTGTTTCCCAAAGGCAAAAAGTCCCGTCACTGTAATAAGAGAGAAAACATCTTATTAGCCAACACATCAAACAGGAAAATACTTTCGACATACATAAATAAAAGAAAGTTGATGTCCTACAATCTTGCAGCAAAGAAGTAGTCCCCTGTGGGTGACCATTTAAGCATGGATATGCCACCTAGCCCCCGTCGAATAGGTGTTCCTGCCCCTGGAAGTTGTATATAGATCACATTCAGAAACACGGAACTCAATCCAATTAAGTAGAAAGCATTTCCTCATCTCAAGTCATAATACAGAGTTTTATACAAAAGCAAGAAAGCAAATTCAGTCTAACCAAGGGTTTTGACTTGATTGACTGATACTTCCAGACCGAAATAATTTGCAGCAATGTGGGGTGAAGCATTAAGAAAGTGTTATTAAGGGTTTTTCTATTACCTTGAGAAACATCCCATATGGTGAAAGATGAGCTGTCATATGAGGCTGATGCCAAATATGTGAGAATAGGTCAAGGAATAACAGGATGGACAAAGTTAGGGACCCATGTGATGCAAGGATCCAACAAAACTAAATGCTTCCCCAACAACTGCCTACCATGAGAAACAACTCGATAAAACTAACTATTGTAATTGGAATGTTATTGACAATGCATGCAGCTCACTAATGAAGTAAAGCAAGACAAAATTATAGCAGAAAGCATTTTCAGGATATCTTCCACAAGGGCTCCATGAGAGAGCACTGATTTGTTCATCATTTTGACAGCGGAGAAAGTCCACCAAGATCCAGCGAGTTCCAGATCCTCGAGAAAAACTTCCCCTCAATGAAGAACCACCAGCTCTAGCCAATGCCATGTTACCTGGATAGGAAGCAGTCCATATGCATACCCCTCCCCTGTTTCAATGCAGCAGTTGTTACTTGGTCATCTATGAAACTAGCTAATAATAAGAAACAGATAGTATTCAGGGGAAGCCATTAATACCCACCTACAGGCTATGGAGAGGGATTTTCCTCCATTGGGCCTCCACTCAAGGGCTTTAACACTTCTCTGAGAATCACTTGTCAGTACGCAAGGTTCTTTCTCATCTGCTCAAAAGGAGGATATCAAACTGCATGCACACGAATTTCTGAACCATTTGCACTAGAAACAGGGATCGAAGTAGAAAAAAAACAGACCTTTGTCCTCATAGTCACGAATTGTTACTTGATTTGCACCGGATATAAAGGCAATAACATGCTTCCCTTGATGCCAACTCACTCCTTGAAGATCAATCTCTGACAGAAGTTCTACCTAGAAAATGTTGTGTACAAAAGAAATGATGATTGACACCAACAGCTACATTTGAAATTGCAGAGAAGACAAGCAATCCTAAAAGACCTTACAAATCACATATTTCATTCCCCTAGATAACTATATGTAATTATCCATCACAAAATGCTACGCCTCCTTCAGTCCAACATAAGAACAACACATAGAAATCAAAAAGATGCTAAGGGAGAATCTTTTAGTCAAATTCTTACATCGATGGGTCGTAGAAACTGCTTGAGAGTGTCTGCAACCTTCGTTTGCAGTGTCGCAACCAGTCCTTTTCTCTCAACACTTCCCTTATCTCCACTCTCCTCTCCTTCGTTCTCCTGCAGAGAACCAGGTCCAGAGTCGAACGAAACAGGGCTAAATACCATTCCCTGCGATCAAATAAACATTGAATTTTGTCAAGACAAGCCTTTTTGGTTGCTTGCTACCTACAAGAATGGTTTCAGCATTTCAGGTTATACGAAATTCAAAAAGGGAAAAAAGACGCAAACGTACGAGAAGCTTTCCATAAGTCTCCTGAGCTCGATCGTCGGACAAGTTCTGCGCCGTAACTGCATTCCGTAAATCCCAATTACGAAACAATTAGCTCAGAAATTCGAAATCCCTAGAATTTCAAAAATAGAGTACAGAATATGGGTAATGAAAGTGGAAGGGGAAAGCTTTGTTTACTCAAGTCTCTGTTGATCTCGCAAACGGTGACGGAACCGGGTTGAGGAAAAGATGCCATTGTCTCCCTTTTCTAGAGCTTTGCAGAATCCGCACACCGAATCAGCAACAGTGACTTCGAAACTTTTTTCAGTATCTATCCAAGTTTGCAGCAATTACTTGTCTGTCAAATGTTCGATTAGACTCGGAATCGCAGATAAGAGCGGATTGTCTCGGAGAACGGCGACGGGTTTTCGCCGGAGAAACGGAGGGAGGGATATCGACGAGAGAGTTGGTTTTGATTTAGGGGTTTTGATTTTTTTGAACCATTTCTCGCTTAGGCAGGTTGAATAATAAAATAATAAAATGTTGCTTTTAAAAACCATTAGTTAATGTTTCAGATATTTAAAATAAATAAATCATGTTTACTAAATTTATATATTTTACGTATTCTTACATGAAAAAAAAAAATGGTATTCTTGGATTCTCGTACAAACTATTTGTGAATAGTGAAATATGATTTTAGAAACATATAGTATGAGATTTGAGAGCAATGAATAAAAATGATTTACTGATTTTGCTTGATGTTAAATTGTTATCATTATTATTATAAAATATTCTTTTATAAACTTTTACTGAAGTTGCTACAAAATAATGTTCTAGTACAACCACCACACCGAATCTAGTCTATGTTGTTTTTTGTAACATTATTTTCGAAATTATATGATGTTTAATAAGACTAAAGAAACGATTGCACATTTTAGAGGTGATACAACCAAAATACTATTTAGAGGTGATACAACCAAAACAATTTCGCAACGTATGAACTTCATAGACTAGACCGGGTCTTAACCGGGCATAAACTACGTAAAAAGAAAGAGGTTTCAAAATCTATAAACGGAAACAAAATAACTCGCTTTACCACTTATAAAAACAAAATCAAGAGGGCACCAAAACAACAAACTCTGATGCAGGTTGCGTGCCATATAACTTACAAACCTAGATAAAAGATTTTTCTTCAAATTGTGTTACGTAAATTAGCGAGAAAAAAACACAAAACCCTTAAAACTTGTGTTTACGTAAATTACCGAGAAGACACACATAAACGAAAACCATTTCTTGAACATATAAATAGTTTTGGTTCCCCTCTTAGTTTTGTGTTAAGAAAGTTAAGGACTAATCCGGTTCGATCTGGCTCAATTAACAAAATTCATCCTATAAAAATAAAGATTCTTGCATACGGCGCAATTCCAGCACATACTTGTTCATTTTTTTTGGCCAGTCGATCAGCTAATGTATAACTGTAATTATGTATCCATCGCAGAAAATCTTGACTTTTGAATATGATTGCCACTTCGGTGTGGGTCTACATCATGTTTAGTTTTAAAATATTATCGTAATTCTCTTAATTATTTATTATTTACCTCTTAATTCTCTGAGTTTGTTTGGCCTGCAGTAATTTAATAATTTTAGAATTATTTTAAAAGATGTATATGAATATTTGCAACAGAAATACAACATAAGATTTCTTCTATCATGTTTCAATCTATGTCTTTTAATAGGATATTACTATATTAGTAATTACTTAAAAAAAACTAACTGTTAAGATCATGTCATGCATTGGCATTGTTTATTATGTATTCATATTTTTTTCCTAAAACACCAAAATGGTCAAGGGAATGTTTATAAAAAAAAATTAAAGTATTAAATCGAGATAAAATTTTGTTTCAAATCACACTTCTCTTGTTTGTTTAACAGGATAGTCCTAAAACCGGAAAAAAAAATGGTAAACCCGTACTCTAGTAATTAATAAGACAATAATTAAAATGAAAAAAATATATATATATACCCTGGCAATCACCGAAACACAAGATAATGTAAGACTTAGGACATAAGCTTTTTTTTGCATCTCACAAGACGCAAACGCGGTTACTTGGAATCATACACCAAGTGTTCCTAGCTAAGACGCGCAGACATTTACACCTATATATAAAACTCACACATTATTTATATAACACAACCAAAAGATCATATTGAAAGCAAAAAAGATTTTAAGACAAAACGTATAAGGCTAGGAAAAAAAAATATTTAAGACAATATGCTTGATTGGATACATGGAAACTCTCGATTACCGCTCGCCTTATCTGTACGTTGTCCATCTATTTCTTAGCTAAATGTTCTTCTTCAACACGTCGTTGTTTTTTTCTTTTCAAGATTTGCTAATGTATATTTTTCTTCTGCTGTTTAAGGTTGTGGAGCTATTGGTAGATATGGATTGCCAAGGATGTGAAAAGAAGGTTCGAAGAGCCATTTCCAAACTCGATGGTAAGGGAACAAAAAAAGCATAATACAAAAATCAAATATCGATTTCCTTCGTATCATTTTTGGTCTTGATTATGCAAATCTTATAACACTGTATAGTTAAGATTATTGATAATTAACGGTCTACAGTAATCAATATGTGTAGGAGTGGACACGTTAGAGATAGACGTGGAACAGCAAAAAGTGACGGTCACAGGGTACGTTGATCGGGAAGATGTTCTTAGAATGGTGAAACGAACGGGACGAGCGGTGGAGTTCTGGCCATTTCAGTATAACGGATACTATGGCGATTATTACACGTATCCCTCTCAAAACTTGGAATATTCGGATCACAAGATATATCATGCAGAGAATAATACTGTTTCATACAGTGGGAAATACGATTTCTATGAAGACTCTTCTTCTATCAACGGCTTATATCCTCGTCCGCCACAAAAAGTTGATGAAAATGCTCTTCATCTCTTTAGCGATGATAATGTACATGCTTGTGCTATCATGTGATGTTTTTGTATTAATTTTTTCATTCGTTTATTCATTTATTCATTTTTTTGTAATTCTAGAAAACAAATATTTGTACTCTTTTTTTTTTGTCCTCCTATAATATAATTTTCTTTGATATGTTTATTTTTACTTTTTATATAGCAAATCACAAGGCCTTTCAGAAATTCATACGCAAAATAACTTAGGTGATGAATGTTTATATAGTTTTTAGTTTTAGATTTTGGTTTTTGGCTTTTGATTTTAGATTTTTGGAGTTTTGGGTTTTTGTTTTTGCAGTAGATTTTGGTTTTTACTTTTTTAAAATGATGTTATGCTTATAAGTTTTAGTTTTAACATATTTATTGTTAATAAATTCACAAAAATATAATTAATGATAAAACTATCAATAAAATTTTACATAAGCTTGTGTCATAAAATTGAAATAAAATAAGCTTATTATTGTACATATTTTAGAGATGTTCATAAAAGATAGAGATAAAAAAAAAATTATGTGTTTTAAATGATTAAAAAAAAATGTGTGAGATTTATCAATAATAATATGTTATTCTGATTTTAGATTTTAGATTTTTAATTTTTAATTTTTTGTTGTTGTAGATTTTAGTTTTACAAAAAACTTGAATGGTGATTATTTAGTTTTTTTCACATATATATTTTTAATATAAATTATTGACTTAATTATAAGATATGATTTTCTGTTATGTTTTAGTTTTTGTTGTATTAAATTTCTAAAGTAATACCAAACAGTACCAAAACCAAAAATAAATATAATTTATTAATAAATATAAATACTATTTCTTTTAAAAATAATAAGTAATACCAAAAGAAATATCTATAAAAATATACATAGATTTTAAAAAACGAAAAAAATAAGGTAACTTTTTAAAAACTCATAAATTATGGTTTTTGGATTTTGTTTGTAAAATGTTAAAAACCATGAAAAACTAGTTTTTCTATAATTTAGGGAATCTATTTATTTAAAAATTTGAATTGGGCCTGATGTTAAAGAAGAGGGCCTAATATAGGTATCCACATGAAGCTGAAGACGCGACCGTTTATCTTCTTGCTGTAACTAAATGGGCTACTCTGCTGATTTATAATTGGGCCGGATGTTTAATTGTTTATCCTTACCTTCGTTTTCGATGTATATAAGCGGAATGTGAATCATCGACATGGCCTTTCAGAATTCATGTAGTTGTTCTTTTCTTTTTTTGGTTAAATGATTTTCAAAAAGTAAAATTTAAGATGGCTTCGCCCGGGTTCGAACCGGAGACCTTCAGTGTGTTAGACTGACGTGATAACCAACTACACCACGAAACCAATTTGCTTCTCATTATTGTTTTTGCTTCTACTACAAATACAAATCTGAGTTAAAGTTTGACCAAAGCCACGCGAAGATGAATGAAGGTTGGTATAACCGAAAGAGCCAAAGATAATACTTACTCTCTAGTACTCGGCTTCTTTACAATCATATCCGGTTTCAAAGCAAACGCAACACAATAAAAAATATTCCTCTATGTCGTTTATAGGTCCAAAGACCGACCCACATGAGATGATAGATAAGTGTCTGAATGTGATTCAGACAAAGTAGATGATGTTCCCTCTCATAAACCCTTCTCAGGTGCAACCAACAACCACCTACATTTGTCGCCGTTGCATTAGTCTTTGTTCTAACTATACTATTATAAAATCGCCTTGGTCAATCTATGGTCCCTCCTTATATTTATTGCTGAGTTTGTTTCTTCCACCGTCCACATGTTACCATTTTTTGTTTTGTTTTTTTTTTTGATATTTCTCATTCGAAATTCATTGTGCATAGATCCAAACTATATGGGGCTTGAAGTTCATCCAAATCTAGTGTTCACATTGGTTAAACGTTTTCAGAACTTCAAGTAAGTGTTGTTAAAGTTTTACGTTTTGTTTCTAATGGGGTAAGTTTAATCTCAAAGGGACGCTGGTGTCGTGTAATTTAGGAGTCAAGAATCAACGCAAATGACGTTTTTACTGTCAAACTAGGAACACGACTGTGATTGATGATGATCACTGCTTCCTCTTTTGTGGCATTGACGTTGACTCAACTTTAAAAACTGACCTAAGGTGGTATTGAAAATATATTTGAACAAACTTCAAATTGCTTGCGACTTTTCTCACACCTCTCATTCTTTGTAGATAAAATTAATTAATGAATATATATATGAGAACGAAATACAGTAGTCTATTTTCTTTAACTTTTGTTTTTTTCTTCTGATCACCAAACCCATTAAGAGAGCTTATTTTTATAACTTTTCTTTTGGGGATGTAATCTTTTTGACCTGGGTGCTAGCATTATCGTTTACTTTGACATGCTCTTATATATGATAGTTGTTGGAAGATAATATAAAATTTCTTTTGTAAGTAAACTGTTGTTGTTGTTGTTACACTATACTCTGTTTTGCAAGTATTATTAGTTTCTAACGTCAGATTAGAAAATTGGCAAATTTAAATTAAACAAAATTATATGGATTTGTATAGGTAATGGAGACATAATAATCGGCGGTGATGGTGGTAACGTATATAATTGTCTTATGTGTGAGTGATATTGACAACATATATGTCCATGGGACCTTCAAGATATTCTTTTAGCTGCTGTGTAAAAATATCTATGAAGATTATCTTTTTCGCTTTTTATCCTCATGCGGCGGTTAAAACTTAAAATAAGAGTTACTTTGCTAATCGAAACGAAAATAAAGCTCACTAATCGTGTTTACTCCTGTATTATTATCTGCGTTTTTAGTTCACTGTTGAAGAAAATAAAGATGACCTCTTTGTTGACTTTCAAATGCTTGGTTCATCCTTTTAAAACGACAGATATTACTATATAAAAATAATATTATAGTATGATTCTTTATATATGTAAGTACAAATACTAATAATGAACTAACTCCAAATTAGCTAAATTTTATTTTGTAGACTCCAAATTTCATCACTAAAGAGCACAAACATATTCGATGTAATGGAACTTATCGGCTAAAAATTTGTAAAAAGAAAAATAACAAAAGTAAAAAAGAAAGTTTTCCATTACCATTGATTTCCCCAAAAGTATGAACAAGAGACTCCATAGCCACAAAGCGCAGGACGAAAACAAGATATTCATAAGAACAGAGAAATTCAAGAAAAAAAGAGATCTAAACCAAAATAAAAGAGTTACATCTACAATTACAAACACTAATTAAATCCGATCGAATCACATAACTTTCCACGATTCAAGCGTCGGGAAGCTCGGGTAACTATCCAATTCCACGGCGGAGCCACCACCACCACCAGTCTTCGCCGCACCGGACGATTGAAACGAACTCATCGGCGCTGAAACAGAGCCCAAATCTGTGACGACGTTCTCCTGGTGATGGTTAGACAAAAACGACGACGTGTCTAGCGTCGGAAGAACAGAGGATCGATCCAGATTCCCGCACGGTGGCAACCTGCTAGCGAGCCTGTGCGGCTCCGGCTTCACAATCGGCGAGAAAATGCCGTGAGAAGCACCGATGAATTTCGCGCCGGTGACTTGCTGAACCATCTGACGGAAATTAGCCGCGTCCGCCGTTATAAACGTAGTCTGAGATTTCTTCGTGGAAACTCTCGATCGGCGTTTCGTCGGTTTGCCTCCGGGATGACCGTTAACACCAGGACCACGCTTCCGCTTCGCGCCGCCGCCGCCACCAACACAGCCGGCGATCTCCGGATCTGAGCCGAAGGAGACGTTGGAGAGAGGTTGTGGAGGGGAGAGATCGGAGACGGCGGCGGAATCGAAGAAAGCTGAGGGAGAAAGAGGATCGGTGGTTGTAGTTGTTGAGATGGATCTGTGAAGAGCTTTGGAGAAGAGATCACTATCGTGAGAGAAAGGATCAGAGAGCAACCACGAGTCGATGTTGAAGCTCTGACGGAATGACCAAGGCTCAACGCTCGCTAATCCCTCAGACGACGCCATAGTTTTAAAACCACCGGAAAATTTTTGAAATCGGAAAACCGAAAAATTGATCGGCAAAAAAAAAATGTATTAGAGAATCTCTCTCAGTGGATCATTGTGAAGCTCTCTGGTTTTTAGTGAAGGAATGAAGGAGAAATGGGAAGCAGATGAGAGATAAATAAATAGGACGGCGTAGAGAGAGAGAGAGTGAGGAGAGAGAAACCGCGTGGAGAGGAGAGAGAGAGTGAGGAGAGACACGCGTCAGCATACTTGTACGGAAGTCTGACTCAGCTCTGCTTCGTTTGTGGTCTCATTAATTAAAACCCATGAGTCCATTCCACTTACTTAAACTCCGTATTAGTTAAAGGATAATGACGTCGCTAATCTCTTCTTCTTTGAACTTTTTGGAAAAAATCGGATTTGAGAATTGAGTCAATTTGATGACACATGTGTAAAAAATAAAATAGATACAATTTCTGTAGTCATAAAATGTCTATGAAGGTACGGTAATATTGTATAGCTAATTTTTGGCATCTTAATTAGCTTAGGTTTTGTCTGTGAAATTCACGAAATTTTTTTGACGAAAGTACCTCATTAGTTCTGAAATTTTGTGATTACGTATGTATAAGCAAACCTAACATTCTAACTGCGATATTTATTTCCATTAACTCCACTAAACACACAAATGTGACTTGTTTCCCATATCCTAGCTGTTATTTCAAACTTGAAACAAATAAAAATAATGAAAGGGAAACGTTCTGTTACATATAAATGCAGGTATGCTTATGGATTTGATGTTAGTTATTTATAAGCGATTCCGTTATTCCTGAGAGGCATCGTATTTTTTTGTTTGTTTGATATTCTAGTGGGGCAATACATACATTACTCTTTTTTTAGGTCTCTAAATCCGTACTACCGAACATAGATATCGTAAACTGCAAGAAAGAACATTAAAACAAGGATCTTAGCCGATAATAAATCCAACCATCCATGGTTGACCGATTCAACAATATATACGTAAAACGTAATCGGTTTTTGGAAAATCAAATTCTTATATATATATATATATATATATACACACATATCAATAGTTTGACCTGCCTGTTGAGTGATTTTTTGTCATATCCATCATTGTAAACGGTAAAGTTTCGTTTTGTCAATGGGTAAATGAAAACTAGTCAGACTTTGGTAACTTAATATCACCGTTTCGAATT